ATTTCTCATTTGGCAAGCTGCAAACAAACACTCCCACATCTACATGTCAGGGTCATGTCTTTTTCAAAGCCTGCATAAGGAAGAAGTCAGCTTTTGAATGATTTGACTTTCTCGATTTATAAACTCTATGTCAACTATGCTTCTCTACTGTAGGCGCACAAGGGTTGTAATGATGGAAAAATGGATCTGCAAGTCTCTATCTCAAAAACAATCTTGAATCAAACACTATCTATATGGTCATGCTGGTTTAAGGAATTTAATGTATTTTGCAAAATGTTCAACTTTGCCTTTAAAAGATGTGCTTTGAAATATAGCTGTGCTTTCAGCTATATATCATAAATCTTCCTGGATTTGGGGGAGAAATGTTGATTTTTGCTCTCATTGGAAAGTTTACTACATGTCTACACAACTGATTGGTGAAAGCAGCACATCAGCAGCAGCTTTAGTCATCCATCACAGGATTTTTTTTTTCATGCACAGTACTGCTGTGTAGGTCACCAGTATTGTGGCAGGACTTAAAGCACAATGCACAACCACTGGAGTTGTAAAATTTCGGTTTAAAATTTGGGTTTCAGTTATGTGTAAATGTGTAAAGCTCTAGTAAGCCTGAGACTGTATTGATTAAACTGAAGCAAATCTGTTCTGTCAGATCCGTGTGAAAAACATCGCTGAACGTTTCCATTTTTGTACAGACTGCGAATTTTGTCTTCCATCACTTACAATGAAAATGTATTAGGAAGCACTTTTTTTAATGGCCAGTATGAACCGGAGGTATGGTTACAGCAAGAAGTCCCCTTTTCAATGTTGACATAGGTTGAAAAAACTGTGAACCTATCCTTTAATATATAGCTGAGTGAAGCTCCCTGATGCACTACAGGCGCCATCTTGTGCTTATTTTTAGTAATGGCTTGAAAGTATGTAAATACTATGGACATCTTGCTTTGATTTAAACATGCTTTCATCAACTGAAATACTTATGTAGCCTGCGTATGCGCAAAGGCCTCACAGTACACCTGCTTTTTCTTACTACATGCTTTTTCAGTGTAATATCAGCATGAGCAAAACAACGTGCTCAATGTGCGAAATTGAGTACGCACATTGACCATACACAGTTCAGGCATATACTGGGGTCTGACCGAGTCTTGCTACACAAAAGCAGGAGCTTGAAAACATTTTGAATTGACTAATCTGTGTTTAAAGATGAATTAAACAGATCTTACTGCTGAGTGACCATCATGCCTGTAGTGATGTCTATCTAATTTAATTGAGTTTTATTCTATTACAGGATTTCCCAAAGTGCTGCCATATGTAAGTGTGCTAACGTGACTCGCGGAAAACTTTACAAGAATTGTTGTTTTTGTTCCCTATAAGTGAAAGTGAGGATGTTAACAAGTAAAACACACGCACTTCCTCTTGTGTCATCAAGTTTACATTTCTGCATGTGTGAGCATGTTTGTGTGTGTGTTAGGGAATTGAAAGAGGGTGAGAGACCAATGAAGTGCACTGCACTTTTAGTCCCTTCCCATCAGTGTATCACTCCATCAACACGTTGGTGTGATCAGGAGGCTGAGGTCACTCAAAGACCTCGTTTTCCCGAAACATGACCGTCCCGGCGTTCCACAGCTCAGTATCACACTAATACTAACACTGTTTTCCAGTCAGGCAGATGCACTCTCATAAAGGCACATATTTACTTTGTAAAATGTTTGCTCTTCTGCTTTAAGTCACAGTCCGAACAGTCATGGGGATGTAACAGGAAGTGATAATGCATAAAGGAGGCACAGATGGAAACACAGGATGTGTTAACCCTAACCCTAAAACATCGGGTATCCCACAAAGCTATGGAACAAGATGTACAATGTCTTCTGTCTGAGAACATGATTCAAATGATTTCACCCAGGTATTTCAGCAACAGCTTGGAAAATCTGAGTTTATGACACAAAGTATGAGGTCATGGACATTGAAAGACGTGGATGTTTTACACACAGAGGAACGCATAGGGGGTTGCTTTAAGGTTTAATGAATGATCCAGGGTTTGTAGGATCCAGGGTTACTTGAACCACACCAGGGACTAGAAAAAGAGTAAAAGTCAGAAGCATGACTCTGCTTCTGCTCCGTCAGTTTTTGACTTTTCTTTTTTAAATCTGTGTCTGTAAATCTATCCATCTTAAGTAAGTACAATTCGAAATCACTGGAGTACTCATTAAAAATGCACACACTGAGGTTTGAGGATTATTCCATGAAATTTTTCACATGACGTGAACTGCCGAATCTCAGAGAGCACATTAGAACGCAAAAGGTTCATATGTGACCTTCATACCTCTATTTGCACTATACTTCTCCTTTATACATCAAATTCACCTCAGTCGGTTTCAATTAGGAATGAGATTACAGTGTAAAGCAGTAACAAAGTCATGTGGACGTGTACCTTCATCTGAGTCAGTCACTAACAAGGGCCAGCACTACATATGATGCATCACTTTAAGAGTAAAACTGTGTGAGTGTGTGGCGTAAAAATAAAACATCCAGATGTGTCAGTGTACGTCATCATTATAGCCAGATAGGGACAAACCTCCAGGCTATTTAATGTCTGTTTATGTGTGGACAGGTGATTGCGTTCATCATCTGTGTTCTTTACTGTACTGGATTCATTGTATGTGTGTGTTAGTTTGTGTGTGTGTTTTCTCAGTTCTATCTGTCTGCCACAGACCTCATTATCTTCCTGTTTCCCGCTCTGAGCGAGACAATACAGCTGCCCTCACAAGCTATCTGTGGGCACTGAGATATGTAACACAATGCAGTAAGCTCTCAAGTCGCACAGACAGATTCTGTTTCTCTCAGTTTGCAAACAATCCAGTTTGAACATCTGCCTGTACATACATGATCTACATTTTATGCCTCAAAAAGAGGAATTACAAACCAAAGATAAAGTGAGTACTGAACCAGTCACCGCTCCAACACTGTTCAAAGTGTGCCGGTTTCTTTCTAAAAAGGTATTATATGTAAATATTCCACATTAAAATGTCTAAAAACACCTAGACATATGTTATATATTTTGTTACATTATCCCAAATATTTCCTTCAATTTCTAAACCTACAGAAATGTGTAATTTTAAAGAAGGTCTGTTCTATTTGGTCACCTGTCAGTAGCGTCATATCCCCTTTGAGCACACGTCACCGCTACGGTTGACTGCCAGAAACGGTCAAAATTGACTTTTTGTCCAGTTTTTAGCCACATTTTTACAATATACTTTTTAGCTTTTGTTTTTTAACTATATACTATATATATGGATCTATCATCATTTCTATTATAAAAACAAACAGAGCAAATGTTGCAGCAGCTCAGCTCCCAGCCCCTCCCAGACATCTGGTGTCTGCCGCATAGTGCCGCAGAAACAAAGGTTTTCCATATGAAACTGCTTTATTGAGTAATTTTATGAGATTTAATCACTTAAAACTCTCCTGAATTTCAGAGAAAGCAGCTGAGCAAACATCACTCTGATGTATTGACTGTAACTGATGAAGAAACATCCCTCTGATAATGGCAACATTATTAAGAATTGGGCAACGGATTTGCAATGGCCTTGATAGAGAGCCAGAGAGGGGGTGGCTGTTAGTTAGTGTATTAATAAGTGAAATGATAGTGATTTTGTCATTTGCGTTCTTCCTGTTAGAATTAGCCTGAAATGTGACTCAGTATTTGAGACATGACGATTGAACTCATGCTTCCTCAATGGAGTTCATGACACTTCCACCTAAAGACTCACAGGTCTTTGGGTTCGTTGGAAGATTACAAATTGAATTTAATGTTCACCTTCAGGTTTCCACAGAAATATTACAATAAGTCTGTTAAGAGTTTATGGGGGTACATTCATAGGAATATTGGTTGCACTTAATTTAAGGTAGCATACACTAAATAGTACATAACATGCTGTACTTTCTATCAACATGCCGTATTGTATTGCATTAGGAAAAGACAGAAAATGTCCAAAAATTACTTTTAAAGAGATGAAGCCCCTTTTTGTTCTGCTTCACTTGCTACACACACACGCTTCAGTTGGGAATCAAACCCAGGTGTCACAGGTTTCTATTCTACCTTCCTTAAGATGATTGATAACATTTGGCGAATCATTTAGTGCCCATTAAAATGTAATAAGATTTATCCAATTGACGATGCACATACTGATGCATGATGCATATATATAATCATGACACTGCTCTCCCCTACATGACGATACATAATCCGCTTTTAAAAATAAAAAGTTTTGGTATCAGCATCAAGAGATTCTGGCCCTTTATTACTTGGTATCGGATCAAAAAGACATATTGTGGTATCACCCACCGCTATCTGGCACAGCCTTTAAAATAGCACATAAAACACTGAGAATTCAGAGGAAAACACATTTATCTGGCCTTTATTTAACATAATTGCACTTTCACTTTCATTTTTTTTGCACATTAGAAGAAAACTATATGAAAACTTAAGTCTAACCACATCTGGGTGCTTCATTCATGTCTGTCCTCTCGTTCTGAATATTTCTACATACAGCGGAAATAAGAATCATGACCTCTCTCTCTTCAGAAACAGTTAGGTAATGATGTTGCAAAATGAGGGTCACTAGTTCAAATCGCTCTTATGTAACAAGCGTCATTGGTATTTCCATTTTTACATTAGTAAGAGTCTAATAAGACAAAATATGATGAGATATTACTTTTTAAGTGACAGAACAGTACAGAGAGAGAGAGAGACGTGCATGCACCAGCAACAACCACCCCTTTACAGATACAGCAACAAAGGCCCTAGTGTCACAGAAGGGATGAGAAACTCACTTTAAACTCACTCACTCACACATTGCAACGTGCATCCATACACCCATGAGGACTGCAGGTTTTTTGGTAAGTGACGTCAGAGGTCACAGAGGGAGGTGTGGTGGAGTGAGTGTGTATTTTGGGGTGAGTGTGTGTGTCATAGAGGTGGGAGGGCCAGTCTTGTGCTGCATAAATACACAACTGTGATGGACACCGAGCATGAGAAGAAGAGCGTGAAGGAGCAACCTTTAAGAGACTAGAAGAGACGAAAAAGATTTGCGATGGCCAACGGCACGGGTAAGTTTCTATCTATCTATCTATCTATCTATCTATCTATCTATCTATCTATCTATCTATCTATGTATCTATCTAGTACAAAACTTTTTGGGAGATTATGCTCTGTGTGAACAATGTGCTGATGTGCTGATATATGACCTGACACTTGGTTGTGATATGACCCATCGTAATTCCTGCAACAAATACAAGGACAGCTTTTGAGCCTAGCTAGAACATGTATCAGGCTAGTCAAAAAGCAAGTTAGAAATTGACAGCACAGAGTTGTATTGATCTTCTCATTTAACTCTTGGCCAGAAAGCAAATAAGTGTATTATGTTGAACTTTTTCTTTAAAGAGAACACATGTACTGAAAACAACTTGATCATAATGTTCAGCCTAACTTGTGACCACAATGCTGCTCTCTGTCAACTCTGTGTAATGTCACAACATTGATGAAATTCTTCCATGACTTCCAGTATTTTATTAAGCAATACTGAAGACTGCTGATTGGTGAACTTTCTCCCCTTTTGGTTATGTTAGGTTTGATTACTAATGTGGATCTGAGAAGTCATGAAAACAACTTGGCTCACCGCACCAGGGAGATTGATCGGGAGCGCTTGATTGTCCGCAGGGGTCAGCCCTTCTCCATAACTTTGCAATGCTCTGACTCTCTGCCCCCTGAACACCACCTGGAACTGGTGCTGCACCTTGGTGAGTACAGCCCAACCTGGAAGATACTGTTTGGGTAGACAAAGTAAATTACTATTATTATCATGATAGTATTCTGATGCCACTTTGCAATGGCAGCCTCTTGTTTACACTGTATAGTAACAATCGGTTTTAACTCATTCACAAACAGTTTATTTACTGTATCTCTGTAACGTTAAACTCTGCTCAATTATGTCTCTGTACTAACAAACAGCTGGAGGAAAAACAGCAGGAAAAAGTTTAACACAAAAATGATTATTCAGTAATCTCTCATTTGAGCTTTATGAAGCTCAGACCCTTCTATGCTAACTGTTTAGCAACTCTTGTGGACTGGTGTACTGTTCTCTTAATAAATATAAATAATAAATATAAGGTTATACTATATGTCCTTTGAATTCCTATAGCTACAGCAGGACAAAGAGAGGTCTATTTAATTCATGGTGGCAAAATGTATTTCCTTTATTTTTATGACACGGAGCACTAAATTCATTCTGAGGCATCATGCTGATTTGAACAGTATTTCTGAAGAACCAGCCTCTGGTTCAGACCCAGGATTCTCCCAGCATGCTCAGAGCCTGGAGATTCACTGGGACCGTTAGGGGGGTTCCTAAGGGAAACAACATACCTCGTCTTCATGCACTGCTGATACAGTGATGCTGAACCAGATAAACAGCAAGATGATGAAGTGATGGTTCGTCAATCTATTTTATGAATTATATAATGTTTTTTTAATGTTTCTTCAGGTAAGAAAGACGAGGTGGTGATCAAGGTTCAGAAGGAGCATGAGGCTGGAGAAAAGTGGTGGTTTAACCAGCAGGGAGCGCAGGATGAAATACTGCTGACTCTGCACAGTCCAGCGGATGCTATCATTGGCCAGTACCGTCTGGCTGCGTTGATCGTGTCACCGGATGGACGCATTTTAGAGGAGACTGACAAAATTGGATTCCACCTGCTCTTTAACCCATGGTGCAAAGGTAAAAGACACATCAAAGTGCCTACGCTCTGCTCTCTCCAGGAGGTCAGACTAACTGTGTTCACATACGGCAGCTTTTCAACTTCATCATGCAGCTTGTGCATTTTTTTAGTTTGTCTTGATTCAATCGCTCAGCATAAACAAAAACAAAAACAAACTGAAGGTGTTTTCTCAATGATTCAACAGGGTTTTTTTTTTTTACCTTCGTCCTCTCACCTGTGTATATAAACCATACAACAGGTCCCTATCACTACATATCAATTTAACTGTGTTTACGGGAGACTTGAACATTGTCGGTGTGGGACAGCATTTTCCACCCGCATCATCAAAACACCAAATGATGGAATTTCTCACAGAACTACAGCGTCGTGTTTTTCTAATTGACGGGCAAAGAATTCATATTAGCTGATTTATGTTGTTGCATCCGCACTTTGGCTTCTCCTTTTCCTGTGGACATGACAGTAGACCTCTAGATTTTCTAATGTAGAGCATCGAGGACACTAAACCTCTGCATTCATTTTGCTCTTGAATCTGTGTTAAATGTTAACGTCATGTCTTCTGTGTGTGCATGTGTGTATATCAGATGATGATGTGTACCTCCCTGATGAGAGTCTGCTTCAGGAGTATATTATGAATGAATATGGAGTCATTTACATGGGGGCCTCGGATAACATCAAAAGCATTCCCTGGAATTATGGACAGGTATTTCACACACACATACACACACAAACAGTTGAGTTGAATATGTCCACGTCTATCAGGCCAGTAGGTGGCCTGTGTGAATTGTCACAGCAGTGTGACAGCGCTGTGGCTTTGGCTGGATCAGGAAATCTGTTTGTTGGATGGAGGAAACTTCTGGACAGGAGGTGTCAGAATGTTACCAAACCACACAAACAAGGGCTTGTCCCTTCGCAGCTCGCTGGGAGGAAAGAGAGGAAGACAAACAGGGAGGCAGTGTGTGCCAGACAAGCAAACCAATAGATGGTAGATAAGCAGACAGGAGGTGGTGTAACAGAGACTCACAGACAGATACCGACCAATGGGAAACGGATGTGATTTGAAATCTGTTTTTAAAAAAATGCTGGTTGAGAAGTCTCTCTTTTCTTTGTTCCTCTCTCTTGATATCTTTCAATATTCCTGCTTCTGTCTCTGTCAGTTTGAGGACTACGTGATGGACATCTGTTTTGAAGTTCTGGACAACTCCAAGGATGCCCTGAGGAATTCACAGATGGACATTGAGAAGAGATCTGACCCCGTCTATGTCGGCAGGACGATCACTGCAATGGTGACGATCTCTTACACTCGCTTCTAAAACAATACTGACAATAGTACAAGGAAAAGCATTTGGATGAAATACCCTCACGTTTCCAGCAGATCTTATATATAGATTTTTTTTAGAATAAATAATAGAAGTGTGCTGTAGAGTTAGTGTAAACATTTAAACACATTTCAACAGAAACTGAAATTTTATCCCTTGATAAATCATGATACTTGTCCTACTGTTTGACTGTCGAGTGACCAACTCATAAAAGAAAATATCTCAGGAGATATATGAAACATGTTGCCTCTACCTATCCAGGTGAACGCTAATGGTGACAGGGGTGTGTTGGCTGGTCGCTGGAGTGAGCCATACTCTGACGGAGTTGCACCGTACCGATGGACCGGCAGCGTGCCTATCCTCCAGCAGTGGAGCAAGACCGGAGTCAGGGCGGTCAAATATGGCCAGTGCTGGGTGTTTGCTGGTGTCGCCTGCACAGGTGAGGCTTTCACAGATTTGACTGCCGCATGACTCAAGGATCCCAAAATAAACCAGCAGAAAGGAAATGAGGTGTCTTAAGTGTTGCTATTATCTTCACAGTGCTGCGCTGTCTGGGAATCCCAACACGCCTCATCACTAACTTCTCCTCAGCCCATGATGTTGACGGAAACCTCTCTGTAGACTTCCTGCTGAATGAAAAACTGGAGAGCGTTGGCGGGAGGGACAGTAGCTGGTAGGAACATAAACACACACGCACAAAGATTTAAAATAAGATTTAGTAGAAGACGTGACATCATCTAATATTCTCTCCTCTCCTTGTGATTGTAGGAACTTCCACTGTTGGGTGGAGTCCTGGATGACAAGAGATGATCTCCCCAAAGGGAATGACGGCTGGCAGGTTCTGGACCCGACTCCTCAAGAACTGAGTGATGGTACATTTATCATGTCTGACTTTTTTTTCTTCTAAACTGTTCTCAGGACTGTCACCGCTGGCTTTCTTTGGTAACCTACAGTATGATTTGTAAAATGTTGGAATGAACGGTGACTGGTGTTGCCCGTTAGCCTGAAAATCAAACTGAATGAATTTTTGCTCTTCAGGTGAGTTCTGCTGTGGCCCATGTCCAGTGACAGCCATTAAGGAGGGAAATCTGGGAGTGAAGTACGATGCTCCGTTTGTCTTCGCTGAGGTGAACGCTGACATCATCTATTGGATGGTCAAATCAGATGGCCAGCGGCAGAAGGTGACTGATTAAACAGAAATAAATTAATTGGTTTAGAATTACATTCATAGCTGAATTTCATATTTTCTTAAAGGAGCTATTTGTAAGTTTTGCTATTGCTACATAGCCAGAGTTAGCAGTAAAAGCTGTTTACTTACCAGTCTAGTAGATACGTTACAAGTTCAGCATCAAACTTCATTCCTTTACTCGCCAAGAGAGTCTCCAGCAGTGGAAAGCAACGCCAATGTTAACTCTTGTCTTGATCGTGTCTTTTCTTCTACTGAAGTTAAAAGGCTAACCAGCTATCCCTGGTCCACCTGGTCACTTTCGGATATCAATGTAGCCTCCAATCTGCCCTGAAGACATAGCACTGCTAAGAGGGCATATTATAACCTCGTCCTGTAAATGCATTAATGGCCAAAGCTCTTGTCAAGCAATAATCACCACCACCCACTCCTGGCAAGAAACCAAGTGTGGCGACAGAGAAAACGTAGAAATAGCCCCTTTAAATGAAGACCCTAGACCTTTTATAAAGATTTCAAGATGATGGCCACAGCGATGACAATGATGACTGTCTATATTGTTACAGATCAAAGTGGATGAGAGTGGTGTGGGGATGAATATCAGCACCAAAAGCGTCTACGGCGACAGAAGAGAAGATGTCACTCTTCAATACAAATATCCTGAAGGTTAGTTGGAAAGTCACAAACAGTGGAGTAGATAGATAAGGGTCTATGATTGCACAGATTTACAACAGCCATAATAATAATAAAAAAAAATCCTAACTGACCATAATCACATTTATTTAGTTGAGTTTACAAACACTATGAAGCCTCCTCCTGTTAAATCTCATAATTGCTCCAGTGTCCTGTAATTTCCCCCACTGTTGAATTTGTATAATATCTTCTCATCAGCATCCACTTAGACTGATGGTTACGATTAGTTCTCATGTACCAACGACTTCTCCACAGGTTCCAAGAAAGAGAGAGAGGTGTACGAGAAGGCAGGGCGCCGAGTCAGTGATGACAGCACAGGACCAGCCAAACTGCAGCTGTCAATCAAGCATGCTAAGCCTGTATTTGGGACAGACTTTGATGTGATTGTTGAGGTATGGAGCGTCAGACTGTAGCTGAATGAATGAATGAATGAATGAATGAATGGATGGATGGATGGATGGATGAAATGATAAAGGAGTAAATTAATTCACACAGTGAGCTGGGGCTGCTGCTGGGTGTAGATTGTATTTTCCTCTTTGATGATGAATCCCTTCTGTCCGCAGGTGAAGAATGAAGGAAGCGAAGACGCTAATGCTGAGCTGACCATTCTGGCCATAGCTGTGACTTACAATTCTCTCAATCGGGGGGAGTGCCAGAGGCAGACGACCAGTGTGACTGTGCCAGCTAACCAAAGTGAGTAAAAATAAACCCAACAACGCCTAGGGTGCAGACTTTTTACTGTTCTTTTTATTTTTAGCACCACCACGTACCACTTTATTGTTTAACCTTGAATGTGTGTGTGTGTGTTCAGCCCACAAGGAAGTGATGCGTCTGCACTACGACGACTACGTCAAGTGTGTCTCTGAGCACAATCTGATCAGAGTGAAAGCATTCTTAGAGGCTCCAGGGGAGAGCGAACCCATCATGACCATGGCCAACATCCAAATGAGCATACCTAGTCTCGTCGTACAGGTGGGTACACTCAGAGAGGTCGCAGTCAGACTATGAAGGCATTGCTGAGGTTGGACAGATTTGGCCTTTCTAAATGATAGGTGGACTTGTGAAGGCCTCTACTGTAATGTCCTACACTGTATGCCTCCATACAACACTGAGCTGTCTCCTCTTTCTCCAGGTGCCTGGGAAGGCTGTTGTAAGTGAACAAGTGACAGCCCACATCTTCTTCACCAATCCTCTACCTGTCCCACTGAAGGGTGGTGTGTTCACTGTGGAGGGGGCCGGTCTACTGCCTGCCTCTGAGATCCGTGTTGAGTAAGTGCATAGGCATATGCATAGAAGTGACAAGCAATATACACTACAAACTCCTTATATCACTGCATATATTACACATATTAGAATTAAAAGTCGGTGGTTTTGTGTAGTAATGGCTACAGACTAAAATTTCAGTTCATGACAGGACCACAAAAACTGAGTAAAGCAAACCCAAGCATTTATCTATTTCTCTCTCTTTTCTCTATCAGTGGTGATATTTCTCCAGGCCAGAAAGTGTCTGTCAAGCTGTCCTTCAAGCCTATGAGGGCGGGGGTGAGGAAGCTCCTGGTGGATTTTGACTCCGATAGGCTGAAGGACGTGAAGGGAGTCACAACTGTGGTTGTCCGCAAGAGATTTATGATTTCTGGATTTTAATCTTAGAGTTCTCTGAACCCGACACATCCTAAACTGTGAGATAATGTGAGGGGAGTAGCACATTATACTATATATTTGTTACTGTTGAAAAGTATCAGATCAAAGAAAATCTGTTGTTGTATGTTTTGTTTCTTAATTATCTTTTTGCACTATTTCAAATACACAAACCGTGATTGGAAGAAGCTACCTTTTTTTTTTTATCCTAATATTTATTCTTTTTTATAATAATTGGGAGTGTTCATGCTGATATGAAACTATGCACAGTCTGCTTTCAATAAAGATTTTTTCACAGGTCTGCTTTTGGTCTGACATGTCATTAACACTGATGTCTGACATACAGTATGCTATGGGTTGACTATCTGCAATATAATTTTAAACTGTACAGAATATTCTTCATGTGTGGGACTCACCAAGCAGCTTACTAGGAACATTAGCAACACCTGTACACCTGCTTATTCATGCAATTATCCAATCAGCCAATCACATGCCAGCAGTGCAGTGCATCACATCATACAAATACACGTAAGCGGGTTCACATCAAACATCAGAATGGGGTAAAAATATTATCTCAGTCACTTTGATAGTGGCATGATTGTTGGTGCCAGACAGGCTGGTTTGAGTAGTTATGAAACTGCTGCTCCTCTGGGATTTTCACACACAACAGTCTCTAGAGTTTTTACTCAGAATGGTACAAAAAACAAAAACTTCCAGTGAGCTGCATTTCTGCAAACAGAAAGACCTTTTTGATATGACAGGCCAGAAGAGAATGGTCAGGATTTCTGCCGAGGCATGCAGATGGTTAAGTCAGAATATTGTGTCAAGAGCATGAATCCATAGACCCAATCTGCCTTGCGCTAAAAGTCCAGGCTGGTGGTGGTGTTGTAATGGTGTGGGGAAATATTTTCTTGGCACACTTTGGGCCCCTTAATACCAATCAATCATGGTTTGAATGACACCGCCTTTCTTAGTATTTTTGCTGACCATGTGCATCCTCTCATGGCCACAGTTTCTAATGGCTGCATCTCAAACTGGTTTCATGAACATGACAATGAGTTCAGTTTCTCTTCAGTGGCCTCCCCAGTCACCAGATAGATCTGAATCCAGTAGAACATCTTAGGGATGTGGTAGAACATCAATATGCAGCTGACAAACATGTAGTACCAGAATCTCAGAATCAAAACGAGGCTCCAGCCAGTATTAGTACAGTGTTCCTAATAAAGTACTCAGTGAGCGTATCTGACACACAGTCATCCTAAAACAGTCACTCACTACACCACATCTTCCTCTGAGACCACTGAAATCACTTACCAAAACCCTATTGTCCTCTGTAGGTCTATGTGTGTGTGATTATCTGTGTATGTTTGGTTGAAGCATCACATAATGCACATTTCTATTCTTTACATATGCTTTATTTCTGAATCTAGAGCAACCTCTAAGTACAATACATACAGTATACCAAATTACATGTATATTACTGTAATCTAGGCTACAGAATGTGACTTAAAGAGAAAATTGTCACGTAAATAGGAAATCTCTTAGTATGACAAAATGAATAAAAGGGGAAATTACCTTTTCACCCTAGTCACTAATGAAAGTGATAAGATTAGCACATTACAGTACATTTACGTAGATACAGTAGCTCTGTTGTGAAACTAACGATGATGTAGAGTAATGTTTCCTTATGCTTCTTTGGGAAATAGGGTGAATATACAGTATGAGTAGTACTTAGGGCATGACCTTATGTCACACTGCGTGTGTGTGTGTGTGTGTGTGTGTGTGTGTGTGTGTGTTTGATTCAATAGTAGAAAGTCACCACACCACAGTGTCGTAAAACTATGTTGCAAGTAAGTATCCTGCTTTCAAAATTGTACTTGAGTAAAAGCATTACCGTCAAAAGATACTTAAAGTTTGCAAAGTAAAAGTACTCATTATGCAGAATGGTCAAGTACAGAATAATTTAACATATATATGATATTGATGGATTATAATTATGATGCATTAATGTGTATATCACTTTTATGTTGTGGAGTGTAAAAAGTACAACACTTTTACTTTTCACTGATATGCTGTCTGATGGTCTTCACTTTTCCTGACATAGAGTTCAGGTGCACATTAACCTATGACACTAAGCAGTCAGTTCACTCATGTTTAACATTCATTATGTGCTTAACACATAAAAATATATAGATATATGTTATAAATTATAGATATATAATTGATATTAATTGCCCTTTAAATCTATAATCAGTTGTTTGAAGTTTCAGTGGTGGAGAAATTGAGCTCCATAGGGCTGCGGTTACTGTTCATTATTAGTTTGCTTTACTTTCACTTCTTTTCCAAGAAGGGAACCGCATTTCCAATAATCAGTCAAACCTTTAAGGACACTAAATTCATCTGTTAGAGAGTGATCAGCTGACAACTGTTGAGTCACACTCTGAACTAAAACTCTCATTATCATTCATCATTTCCGGAAGCAGAAACTGCCTTGTCCTATTAGTGAGAATTAAGTAAGATTCCTGTGTAAACCACCACATTAAGTCATCTTCGTAAAATGAGTCAGGACTTTTTTGTTCCATTTTTGAGGTCAGAAATGTACAGAACCTATTTTCTGTGTTCCTTAGTTTCATAATGATTTTAAAAGGAAAAAACATTACAAAACTAATGTAGAAAAAAGTGATGGTTGTACTGGTTGAACTCCACAGAGTCATAGAGGTATCCTTCTTCATCATCATTAGCAGTTGTGAGAAAGGGCCAGAACTTGCATAACTCCAGATTAATAAAGTATGCAGAGAAGGTCGTTTCTGAGCTCTGTCAGTCAAATTACACCAATCTTGAATGTGACTCGTAACTTTATGTTTCACTGAGTATAGTGTGAAAAATTATTTATTTAAAAAAACATTGTGTCAGTGTAAGCAACATCAGTTCAGAATAATGCCTTAAGTCCACATTGTGTTGATTTTACATTGTTCACAGGTTCAGGTATTAATTGTGCTTAGTTGATGATATATAAGAGAGGCGAAATCACAATTCACATTGTTCCAAGTGGCAGTAGGGTGGCTAGAGGTGTGGTGGATAAAACATTAGCTTTGGTGTGAGATGGTGGTGGTATGGTCTAGTGCGACATCTAGTGGCAATGGCGATCATTTGCAGAACCTTTCAGTTACAAAAGTTAAATTATTCGTTCTGCATTAAAAGTTCCCTGTAACGTTATATATGACATTTGTTAATACTAGAGAATTAAATATGAACGAATACATGAGTAACATTGTACTGTTGTGGAGTCCAGTGGTTCCCAGTCTAGGAATTGAGTGAAAAAAGTAGTTACACAGATTTACATGAATATTTTTGTTCTCTAATCTTTGCTCTTTTGTGAAAATACTTTTACTTTTTTTAATCGTTTTTATTATTGCGGGAATTTTATGTTTTTTATTAGATAGTGAAAGTGTTACGTGACAGGATACACGGGAAAAGGAGTAGAAGAACTGACACGTAGTTAGCGGTCCAGCCGGGAGTCGAACCGGGGACTCGCTGCTCAGGCCATTTGCTCAGTAAAAAGTACCATTTTCCCTCTGAAATGCTGTTGTACGGTTATAAACAAGCATGAAATGGATATAGAACAACTACTTCAACCGTAAGTAAAGTATAGTAAAGGTTGCATGAAAAAAATCGTTGGTTTTTTAAATCTCATTCCCCTACTACGGAATCTGCGTGACAAGTTTTGTTTAGGTCGCTATAATCGGTCGAAACATTGTTTTTTCCACAATCCGTTGTTTTCACTCCTTTCCCCAAAGGCGTGTGTCATCCGGCGGTGAAATCTATCTACTGCCTGATGTGTGTGTATTTACGTGTCTTGTGTTCATAAGTCACGTTAATGTTGACAGAAACCGACTTAAGTTGTCGGTAGGTATTTGTAACACCAGAGGGCGCAAGAGATCCACGTTTCGAGGCTGTACTGCTGCCGCGGAGCCAAAAAGACGTAAACACAGTCTTCCGTGTAACGTTCAAATGCCGTAGCCAAATAGTGAGAGTACCAAGACGACAATTAATGCAAACATCAAACTATATCTATAAATACGGTGGTTGTTTCGTATGGTTTTATATGTCAGGATGGCCGAGCGGTCTAAGGCGCTGCGTTCAGGTCGCAGTCTCCTCTGGAGGCGTGGGTTCGAATCCCACTTCTGACAATAACTTTTTTTTTTTCCCAAACTAATACATTGTACACATGAATACACATGACTGTTACAGTACAACAGTTGTTGACCACCCAGGAAACTGAACTTTATGTCACTGCAGAATACATTAATATCACCATAAAGAATGAAAATAAAATAAGCTTCAAACAAATAAATATTGCACTATCATCCACTTCTTGTACTTCATGGTAATATTGTTACAGTATCATTAATAACAATGACAACATTTTTTCCTTTCCTTGTTTGTTCGTTTGGTAGGTAACCCTTCGATACCATGTCATACTTTATGAGCTGATCATTTATTTGAGTGTAAAATCTTAGTCTGAAAAGTAACTATAGCTTTGAAATATATGCAGTGGCACAAAAAGCACAATATTTGCCTCTGAAATGTAGTGAAATTGAAGTATAAATGTATGTAAAATGTAAACACTAAAGTAAAGCACAATTATTTATTAAGACTGTACTTAAGTACAGTCTTTAAGTAGATATACTTAGTCACTTTCCTCTACTAAAATTTTTGCTTAAAAGTTTCCACCCCCAGAGAACAGCAAAAATAGCATTTTGTTCTCTGTGTTATTAACAGTCAACCAGTTTTACTTTCACACACCAGCACACAAACCTTTCCCTCACTTTTGAGTTAAACATTTACAACATCTGCTCAGATCTTATGTGTCATTTATTAAACTCGCTGCAGCAACACATCACCTTTTTGTCTTATCAAGATACATGTGAAGGACTGGTATGCACGTACAAAAATATCCACACCAAGAGGGCCTTACAGAGCCCTTTTTTTTCTCCCTCCACTTCCTTCTTTCTCCCACTTTTCAAACACATTAATGAGTCACTCAGGTAAAAGGTCTCAGAGCCATATGGGAGGTGGCAGGGGGAGATAGAGTTGGTAAAAGAGAACAAATAGAGATAGGATGACGAAACATTAACTGTGTGCGTGAGAGAGAGAGAGAAAGAGAGAGGGAGAGAGAGAGAGCAAGGTGTAGAGAGACTCACACACCACCACCATTAGACACCTGTCAGTGCAGGTGGAGACTAACTACTGAATATCTGAACCTGGAGATTTCACCGGAGGGCTCCTCTTTGACTCTTTGGACTGTTTTTCTTTTTTCTTTTTTTTTTAACAATTAAGACTTTGTAGATTTATGTTTTTGAAATATTTGGGTTTTTGGACATTACTGAACTTTAATTTGAAGATTTGCTCTTTGCTGCAGCCAGCAGTTGATGTAGTCAATGGTTACTGAATCCCGATATTCAAGTATGTTCTAAGGAGTAAAAACTGCTGTAGGAGGAAAACGTTTCTTCTAAGACTTTCGTTCTGAGCGTTCATCACAGCCTGAAGGAGTTTGTTGTCAACACGGCTGTTTCCGAGACACCCAACTTCAAATAAGCTGCAAGAACATGGCAGACTTCCCGTCCAAAGTTACCACAGAGACCAGCTCCCCCAACTCCCAGAGCTCTCAGCAGGGGGGCAACAGCCTCCGAGGGCTGACCGCTAATGTCACCACCATGATGGACATGTCGTTTATCCGAAGTATCCCAGCCATCCTCATGATTGCTGAAATAGTACGTGACACATCCAGAGTTGCTCTGTTTTTACTCTATTCAAAACAAACTTGTTTTCAGTTCTACTCTGTTCTTTTCTATTCTGTGTCTGTCGAGTTCGAGCACTTTACAAATGACACCACCAGTATCTTAATTTACAGATTATTAACAATTAACAGTTATTAACATTATTATCAACAAAACCCATGAAAAGACTAAAACCAACAATGAGTTAGTCCATCTCAGAGTACGTTCTGAGTACCTACCCCTGTTTGTGGCTCTCAACCTTTCTTAAAACAGCTGGTCACTGTTGTTTTTTTTAGCAAATGTTACTCAAACAGAAGGAAATAGTTAATTTGCTGAGGACTAGATTAAGTTGTGGATAAATACACATTTGGTGCTCTAGAGGGTGTTTGTGGCAGCAGGATGGTCTATGTGCGATTGAGTCAAAATAAACTACAGAGCCCATGTTCATCATAAAGAAGGAACATGTTGCCTATTGTTTTTAATAGCTTTTGAACAACAGTGAAGTTCTATGGCATAGACAACAAAGATAAACCAGGTTTTAGCTGCACAGGCAGTACTTAGTTTTTTCAGTTTTACTTTTGTATTTTTTGTTGACAGTAAGAAAAATATCATATAGACATATCCTGTAACTCCTTGATCGCAGTATTTGCTTGTTGTTTTGTGCATTTGTCCTAATTTTATAATATTAGCCCTAAGCAATTGTCATATTTTACTCTCATGTAAGAGCTGCACTAGTATGTCAAAAAAAAAGTTTAAGAACTCATGTGGACAGAGTGTGGGTAGCTCAGGATCAGTCACAGACCAGTTTGCTAAATATACATCCCGTTATATTCCTTATCAAGGATGTGTTAAAGGCCAACCACGCTTTTATAAACTCATGGTACTGTAGTCAACATTACAGCAGCACCAGATAAAGATATTTGTATATCTGCACTCTTAATCTGGTGCCACAGGAATTTAAATTTGTCCCAACAAGCTCCAGTCTGTGCATCATAAATGTCACTGGCTATCTATCAACAAAAACATACCTGTCACTGGTCAACGCCACTGCCTTTAGGCTTTGCTGTGTGCACACAGTCGTGTCTGGCCGCTCCATAGAGCTGAGAGCTGAAAATGAAATTTGATTGTGAGAGTCAGCAGGGCAGGTTTGTTATGTTTGCTCTGATACTTGGTTGTGGGATTAAATGGAGCACAGAAGTAATCAGAAAAACGGTACTGAGCATCAGCTCAAACTAATTTCCCCCCTTCAGTGATATATTTGAACTAGACTCTGTCTGCACAGAGGACATGTGACTGGCTGGATGACAGGTGCAGAAGACCTTTGTCCCCTGGAGGTCTGTCCCTTCATGACCATCCCATTAATAAACTGAACCTATATAGCCTTCAAGGACAGAGGGACCACTGTTGGTGTTCATTCTGTATATGACTGTTAAACATTTGCCACCCCTTCATGCTTTATGAGTTGTAAGCTTCATTGGCTTTTGATGGTGTTGTCGTAATAGGGCCAGCTAGGCAAAGGTCAGCAGTAATTTACTAGTGTTGTGTTCAAATGGTTTATTAAATCTGGTCAAGTTTGACGAATCTTTGCCTACTTCTTTAAAGAAGCTATTTGTGAGTAGTTTTGCTATTGCTAATGCTAGCGTTAGCATTAGCAGCTGTTGACTTACCAGTCTAGAAGAAACGTTGCGAGTTCAGCATCAAACTTCATTACTTTACTCGCCAAGAGTTGTCTCCAGCAGTGGAAAGCAACGCCAATGTTCACTCTTGTCTCTACCACGTCTTTTCTTTTACTGAAGTTAGCATGCTAACCAGCCGTGTCCTCACTTTCTGGTAGCAACTCACTGTAGCCTCCAATCTGCCCGGAAGACGTCGCGCCGCTCAGGGGGCGTATTATAACCAATTTTCTTGTAAACGCAACGACGGCTGAAGCTCCCTGCAAGAAACTACGTTCAGCAAATCGCACCGTTAATTAGCCGATAATAAGAAACGTAATCAAGGACCATCCAGGTGGCTCATCTGGTAGGGCGTGTACCATGAATTCTCAATCCCAACCGCACCGGCCCGGGTTAGAGCCCGATCCGTGGTGATTGCTGCATGTCATCCCCCCTCCCTGACCCCAAATGACAAGAAGTCAGCCCAAAGATTCAAGCATATCACCATCAGCTACAATGAGTGTTTGAGTTTTCTGTGTACATGCTTTCCATACACGTTTTTCCAGTGTGAATAAACTAGAAATACTTAACTAACTTGTGAGTGAGTCTTCACGCCCAGAGCTTTGGTACCCATACATAAATTAGTAGTTATGTCTTGGTAAGGTTAATAAGCAGGGAACGTTTTCTCAAAATAATAAACCAGAGTAAGTTTCGTCATAAAAGAAATGTCATAAACCACAACACAGTTGTTTGAATTTATTTTTTAACACACCAATTGTAAAGCAGTAAACCAACAGTGGCATCAACATATAAAGTATATAATATAATATAATATAATATAATATAATATAATATAGTTTTTGTGCAGATTTGGTTCTGGTGGGAGTGTTAAAATGTCTTACCCAGCTGATTTGTCAAACTTAATTCCAAGCAAAGTCTTATCCAGAGTGAGAGGACTGTTTCAAAGAGCTGATTTACTTGGTTTGACTTTTCACACTCAGCTATTTTGAGCTAGCCTATGGCAGATTTCAGTGAATCTGGATTTATATTTAAATTACAGCACCATTTTCATAATTACACAATGACAGCATGGTAAATAAAACTTTATAGCAATTGTGAAAAATGGGCATCAGTTTAATTTCCATGATTTACAGTATGTAACCTACTTAATATATTTAGTCTGCTTTACGTCAAACTTAGGTAGAAACAAAAATCCCTAACAATGTAAGATGTTAAGTGTATTTTGCTAATAAAACTGACAGTCTCAGTTTATTTAAAGGCTTGTATGCTATAGGTTCCCACTGCTATACTAGTATTTGACAGGGTTGGCTTGTTTTTGTGGACCTTTGGTATGATCTTCAGTAAACAGACCTTTGCTGGATTTCCAATGTGTGTGTGTGTGTGTGTGTGTGTGTGTGTGTGTGTGTGTGTGTGTGTGTGTGTGTGTGTGTATCTTTTTCATACCTGCATTTAACACTAAGTTGTGAAGAGGGTGATGTTTCCAAGAAGGATTATTGATATGAAAATCAGTTGACCTAATAACTAAATGTTACCTTACATACGTTAATAATTTAACTGAGCCCTTATAGTATATACTATTACCATCAGGTGATAAAGTAATTCAAGGACATAATTCATTCGTGAACTAGTAATTATGTGATAACCCTAAGTGACCTAGCAGATGAATGCAGACAACAGTAACATTTTACTGATTTAATCAGGAAACTGAGGTTATCTACAGTTCCTCAAGGTCATAACAGTTCTTTGTTAAGGTGGTGCCACCTGTTTGTATGTGTGTGTCAGGTGTGTAAAAAGTGAAACATGATCTTTGCATACCTAACAGACTGTCCTTTCATGTGCTTTCTGATGGGACAGAGGCAGAGAGACACAGAGGCAAAGTTAGGAGCTTTAGGCTTAAATTTCACACTTGTACTGTGAACAAACAAGGCCTTCATCGAGAATGTGGTTAATCTCCCTATTTTACTTGGGCCATGATTTATAGAAAATGATATGATTGATATGATTTTTTTTTACTTCCAGCACCTTTTAAGTGACCTCCTCATTTCACCTCTCCTCTTCATTATTGGTGTTTTCTGTTTTCTCTCTGTCACCTCTCTAGTTTCTAGGTCTGCTCCATTGGGCATTGATAGCCAGAACTCAACCCTATACGGGGGCGCCGGCATATGGCTGGGTGATGTTTGTGGCAGTCACCCTGTGGATCCTCACCACCATCCTCTTCTTCATGATCCTGTTCAGCGTCCAGCGAAAACTCACTTCTGTCCCCTGGCCTCTGACAGTAAGGAGGGAGAGGGAAAGGAAAGGGAGAAAGGATGAATATATAAAATTTTGAGACTTGTTTATTTTATTTGTTTATACAGAAAGTAGATCAAATGTGCCTCTATGTAGCAGTTTCTGGCCTTTAGGCCCCTGAAAACTTGATTTCAGTCTAAAATGTATAGCAACAGTCAAAGCTTGTAAAAGACATCATTGGCATTCATTTTTATTTATGAAGAGTTTAACTTTGCTTTCCACTTCAAATCAGGGCGAATAACACTGACAAATATGTGAAATCATTAAACCTGGACTCATAGGGGCAACAGGATAGAAAGGCAAAGCTCTGAGGAAATGTGGCTAACGTTTCTCCTCTTGTACTAGGTGATGGCATATAACGGCATAGCCACGGTCCTCTATCTAACTGCCTTCCTGACCAACGCAGCATCTGTCCACCCTTACCGCTTTCAGTACTTCTACGGACATATGGCAGCCGCTGCAGTAAGACGCCTGACACCCCTCACACTGACTACCATACAAAGAACTGGTTAAAGATGCAAGAAAGCACTCTAAGATCACACTGTGATATGTCTGTTGATACTGTTCATCCAGTGTTTGAACACTGGGTGCAATTTTACATGTTTGACCCTCCCTCCTTCCCTCTCACTGTTTGGCTAGGTGTATTTCTATATGTTTACTTATCAGGCTGTGGCAAGTACATACACAAAAGTTCTGGGTGTATGTACTTGGAGTGGGAGAGGCAGAGTAAGATGGAGGAGGGTGAGGTTTTCTTATCATTAAAATTTCTCACATGGCAGAAAACCTTGTCATGTGCTTTTGTTACCTTTGAACCACGGTTGCCACTTGCTCCTCCCCTCTGCTGTTTAAAGGCGTCATTGTTCAGTTTTAAATATATAATATATATATATATATATATATATATATATATATATATATTAGGTGTGAAGTGGATGCACAGGAGCTACGTGTGTGTGTGTGTGTGTGTGTGTGAGAGAGAGAGAGAGACCAAATATTATAGACTATAGATTGTCAGTGTCAGGAAATGCAGGCTCAATATGCCATTTTATAGTCTCTTCCACAGGCTGAAGTCCATTCTGGTTTACAGCTACAGTAGCATTTAGCACAATTTCACACTCACACTCACACACAGACATACATGGCCCTGCCCTGTCCTATCACACACTCTTATCAGTTGCATTTTACTTACTTTGAGACACACAGGTCAAGATGCTTTTACTGTGGATAATTACCCATTAGTGCATTATCAAAGATGTAAAATCACGAGTACCTGGAATCTGTATAGATGTGAATAGATAAAGATGTAAATTTATCCTTGATTTATGTCAGCTATAGATTATATCAGACCTTTGCGGTGCTTCATGAAGTCATTTAAGAGGTGTAATTGTCTCTCCTTTCCCCTTTTCACTTCCTACCGATGTCTCTGCCTGTCTGTCTGCCCAGTTCTTCGGTGCTGCGGTGACCCTGGCGTACGGTGCCAGTGCTTTCTTCTCCTATTTGGACTGGAAGGGAGATGGAGGAAATGCTGCCACCAGCACGGTGCCGACCTAGGACTAGAACATGTGATGCTGCTTTGGGAAAAGTTTGTTTTCTTTCCCTCAAGATACTGTAGTTATTTGGATAGTCTAGTGTCACTTGACTATTACTGCTGACTCTGGTAACCCAAACCCTGACCTCAGCCTCACCCCAGTATTAACAATAAGATGAAATCTAATCCAGACAGAAGATATCCACACATTACTTTTCTGTAAAACTCAAGAGACTTTTACCTTCACATTATGGAAATAAGTTGAATATCAACACTGGGTTATCCACATAAATGTGAATATTGATACTGTATCTCAGCAACACAATATCAACATAATACTTCTTTGAAGGGGATCTGATGGACTGCACTGAGGCCTCACATTCAGGCCTTCCTAAAATAATATATTTCATAACACTATTGTAAATAGTATTAATAATAGTAATTAGTAATTAGTATATTAGTATCAGAAGTAGTATAGTAAATAGTTCAGTAAGTAGTACATGTGTTCATTTTCACAGAGAATGTTAATATCAGAGAATGTTGTAAAATATACAAATGTTTTACACAATGGGACCAACTTTGATATGACATTAGTTTTGGCAAAATTACCTCATGTCTATAAACAGGAAACAGCATGCATGCAAGGTCTTTTCATATGTCTGAGTTTAAAACTTGCATAATAATCTTTCAGATTTACTTGCCTAAAGTAGGACTTAACTTAAATTTGCAGTGTAAAGCATTTTGAATATATGTAGGTTTCAAAGACAACACAATATTTCAATTTTAAACCAGTGGACATAGTTAAAATTACTAGAAACAAAATAGAATCACCGGGGACAAACTTTGTAACTACTACTACTACTTTTGTGGCAATAATTATTTTTGCTTCACAGCAATAAAAGGGGAAAAAAACATGATGTGGCCTTGGACAGTCAGTGACATATAAATCAGATTTGCATCATGAAATGGAAAATGACTCTGCCCCTTTGTGAATGTGGGGCTTGAGAGGACAATCTAACAAGTTCCTGGTTACAAGAACTTACTACAATCTTTGACACCAAAAACTTTCATTTTAAACATACCTTGTGTGGACTAGGGAGTGTATTATGTCTAAGGTTGGAAACATAACTATTCAAAGTTTGTTTTGTATTTTTTGTTTACAGAGTATGATGTTGCTCTCATAAACTGACATGGTAATGGAGGAGGGTGTGAGGAATGAGTGTTTCCGTAGTATCTGTCCAGCAGAAATCTGTTTTGATTTCCTCTATTGATTATCCAGACTATAATCATGCGCTCAGATAGAACCCAAATAATTTCACTGAGGAAGCCGAAATGATGATGAAAATAAAAATATACATACATAGATTGCAAAATATACAGTGTGAATCAAACATTTCTTGAAGCTGGCAGTGTTTCTGCAGGACATTATTGACTCCTTTAATGATTCAAATGTTAGTCCACTAGCGACTCGTAGAGTTGTGGAAAAAGTGTGCAACATATTTTTCTGATTCATATCACACACTGCTCAACTCCTGTTGTACTGTATGTACCTTTATGAAATATATTGTGTTTTTGTACCAAGAGTTTGAATACTAGTGAAATTCTGTTGTTAGTGCTAAACCAAGCACTTATGTTCTAATAAAGCACTTGGTGATTTCAGTGTGAGGCTTTTACCTGTTTATTTGAAAATATCTTTTTACTAAACAAATTTGACATCAACAGTACTTCAGCAGTGACATAAATATACTCTTACAGTTAAAACTGCCATATCAAGACAAGTAGAAAACACTTTGACATTGTACTGAAAACTATACTGTAGATCTTATTTCTGATCGCAGAACACAAGCACACGCACACACAATCACTATATACATTAAAAATCACTTTCACAGGCACAAAACTCAATCCAATTAGTTTTCAAACTAACAAATTAATTTGAAACTTCAAAAAACATATTAGTTCTGCTACATTCTTTCCTTCTGAAAAAAACATACCATGCAAAGAGAGCAGAGTCAAACATTCAATCATACCAAATGCTTTCCCTACTTACTGAGGGATCTGTTGATGCTTTTCATGAAGGAAATCACAAATATTGGCCTTGTACAAGCACCAGAATATTGGAATCCTTCTCCTCAACCAAGCAGAACTCATAAATGCTTAATCTTAATAAGATTGCATGTAAATAAGAGGATGGTTGTAAAATTAGGATTAGGCCTCAGTCAATTCAAATCGAATTGAACTTTCAAATCCCAGTTCAAGAGATGTGAATATTTCAAGTAGTCATATGTCCAATGCAATTGTTGGGGAGTAGAAAGAAGTCAAAACCTTCCATCTTTACTCTTTGACTACAGAGAGGCTCCTGAATGCAAATACCATCCCGCCCACCACATAAAACACAGGAATGCATATATGAATTTGCCATTAGGGGCTATTTGTGCACAGGCTGTAGATTTATATTTAGACGAAGAGTGCATCCTGAATCTCGCCATCAGGGTAAAAAAGTCACAAACACCACTGACCACAAGCTGACAACTTTCTGAAGGCCCATGGATAAAACTTTACATGAACACATGAAGGAAGAGGCAATTCAAGTGTTTGACTTTTTGAGTGTCACTGTGATTCAGTGGAGCTGGTGTGTTTGGAGGCAGCAGGAATCAGAGATGTAACCACCAGTCCCTGACTCAGGTCCAGACCTCGGCCCTCCTTCTCCTAGAAACACACAGATGCATAGAGCTGGTATTAAAACAAAACACTTCACACAAACACACACGCACACATAGCAGGTAGTGGGCTTGACTTTCAATGATACATCTGTGACAGAAAGTTGCCATTACAATTAGGAGTCGTGTTCGAACCAGTTAAGCACACATTAGTTTGTTTAATTGTTTATGCTGTTATTATATATTGTACTATTATTAAAGTTCATTCAACAGTTGATGTATATTTTAACAGTGTATTATAGTTGACCTATGCTAAGGCTATGTTTATATTTGCTATCTTTGTCCTACAAAACAGTACATATATTTTTCTTAGTATGACAGGCGATTCCCTTACAGCACTACGGGCAGTCTGGCGCTCATGTGGTGTAAAACAGAAGCTTAGGACATGATCATCAAATCAAAACATGATCAATCAATCAACATTAAATAATTCACTGCTATTGTCGTCTTTGCCTCCTGGACTTGTAAGCACACTGGTTTAATTCACATTCAATCTTCACATATTGGATGTAATTAGTCAAAACTATGAGCCCACAGAGACTCGTTCACAATTATGGACTATAGCATCAACTGTCATTATGCCAATTTAATGAGAGAGAAATCCTGCTCAAAAATCAGTTGTGTTGGGCTGCTTAGGGAAATGAGGTTTAAAGATTTCCCAGGCTTCCAGACAACTCACAGCTTTGTATTCCAGAAACATCTCCTTGAAGGCCATGAAGTCAGTGAACGTCAGCAGCATGTCAAAGATGTCACCTGGGACCTCCTCTTTGTGCTGCCTGCAGATGAAACAGAGACATACTGTGAATCTCATCATATTTTAAATGTACTGGTGTGCCACCTAGTGGCGTGATGCAAAATAATATTTGTTAAGCGCCACAGGTGCATCATACAAACCAATGTGTGAGCTGACTGGTTCTTGCCAGTGACACCATTAATGCCACCAACTGAATTTAAGTGACTGAGTTGCTCGAGGAGGAAAACAGACAGAATGAAATGGCTTCAGGAAAGAGTTGTGATGTCACATCTTACATGAGCAGCTCTGTGAAAGTGTTCATGTTAAAGCCGGGGATCCTCTCCATCAGCTGCTGCTCCAGGTGTTTCTCCAGCAGGTCAACCTACACAATGTACATGAGTTAATATGAATTTGATCTTAGTGCATCTCCCTAGTATTACAGAAGTTCAGTATAAAGTTATAATCTCTGAAAGAACTGTTGGTGGAAATTATATATGAAATGATATACTGTCATATTACTGAGGGTAACAGTGTACTACACTTAGACAAGGTTATATAAATCAGATAATAGTTTGCCATAGTCCTTGAAGACAGGTGTATTACATTAGACCACAGAGAGTTGCCCAAAAACTCACGTATTCATTGAAGATGGGTGTGTAGCTGAGTTTGTTCTCATCAGAGTCATCAAACTCAAGGTAGTGTTTCTCCATGAAGCTCTGCTGAAGATGCTGAAACTCTTCCTCTAAAAAAAAGGTAATGGACAGGTAGAGCATTCAACATATCTTCACTATTAACTGGTGAAACAGTGAAGTCTTCAGCTGGTCTAGCATACAGGCCTTTATAAAAAATATCTTTTCTGTCATACCCACATAAAGTAATATCATAGTTTGGGATATGTTTTACAAAATAAGACAATGACAATCCCTTCTCAGTCAGGTTGAAGAATTAACAAACAGTATGACTGAAACTCTGTATAACTGTTTAGAAAAGACTGACAAAGTACAATAAAACATCAAAAAAGAGTGGATTCATCATTAGTCCTACCCATGATGATGTCCTCTATGCAGCCAATAACAGCATCAAAAGCGGCATCAGCAGCAGAAGAACTGGAGGGAGAAAAGCATGAGATAAAGATCATATCACTTAAAGGTAGAAGAGTTTGACTCACAACACCAATTGTTATTACATTAACACAGAGCCAATGTGTGCTTGATGTAAACCTGTCGATTGAGTGAAAGCACAGCCCCACTCTCAAGTTTTGAATTGGTAGTCAAGTCAAAAAATAAAAAATAAAATAACAATGACAGTAACTTTTCCTTGCAGTACTCTGGATCTGACTTGACTTGACAGACTTAAGACTTAAGACTCGACTCGGGCTTCAAAGCATATTCAGACAACCCACCTGGAAATAGCAAAGTTTTCTTCGTCCATATCAACCATTTCTACAATGTTCTCTCCACAGCTCCGAACATCTAGAGAACGGGGGGGGGGGCAACATTTGAGCACGCATGTTTTAGTAGCGTTATCCGTTGAACAAAACCATACACTGTATATAAAACAAATGAGCTAGCTGACAAGTGCTAAATTTGACAACAAACGCAATACTGACGTTCAGTCACAAAGCTGCCCGTGAAACCAAACAAGTTTTGGTCGTTACTGAAAAATAACGTTAGGTAGCTGACCGGCTAAGTACATGTTAGCTAACATTAGCTAAACACATGTAGCGTTAGATGAATACGGACTGTACAGTATTAGCTATATTTCATATTTTTCCTTTGTAAACGTGTTGATTTACACGTTTCCTAGGCTACATTAATGTTAGTTAAATACATTTAATTTCATTACTTCGTTCCTGGATGTCCATGTCGTTTCAATGAGTCGTTGACGCGGATGGTAAATATTGGACGTAATGTTGTTACCAAGGAAACGGCGAACATGTGTGCGCCTTTCCGTCCCATCCGGTGGAACAAAATCTGTGCAAGTTAGTTCCTATCTAAGGACATTAGCGAGATTATAGAAATGAGACAAGACACTGTAGATCAATTATTCGAGTTCCCCTGCTTTGTGTGCTTTAGCTTCACTTAAATGGGAAAAAAAGAAATAGTTTCCAGTAAAAGTATTGGTATCTACCTCGGTTGAGATCGTCTGTTATTTAAAGGTCTGTGTAGATACAGTAAAGTAGTCAAGTAAAAACAGCGAACAGAACATTGAGATTTTAAGGATTTATGATGATAATAAAAGGATATTTGAGATGTAAATAAGCAGAATTCAGTCATACAAAAAAAAAATCACATGACCATACATTTATTACAAATATCACAATCCAGGAAACAACAATTCTTCAATAAATCACATCTTTGGGAACTCTGGGGCAAAATTCCTTTATAGATGTTTTAAATACAGCTCACAACTTATTCTTTACAATCGTGAAGTTCATCTCCAACCGTGGAGACAACCATATAATTTCTCTCACCTAAATGTATAAGGTGCTCCAGGAAATACAAGGTAGCAAATCGGAAACAGACCAGTCATTTGTCGTAGTGAGAGATGCATGTTATCTTTAATAAATTATTCCAGTATAGTCTGAACGATTTTACAGATCTTGTTCATGCAATCTGGTGGAGTAAGAACTCTTTCATAAACTATTTGACCAAGAGAAATCAAAATTATTCAGTGTTTTAATTTGAAGATTTTTTTGTTGTTTTTTTTGTTGTTTTTTTTAAATTGTACAAATAGAATTTTTCTTGAATCTCAATCTCTCATAAATTCATTTTGTCACCTGTTTCCAAAAGACAAATATCATTCAGTCAACCCAGAGATGCTTCAAGTAAAGGATAGACAGAAAGACAGGTGGAAAACACAAGGTTGAAGACGTAGGGAGAGATGGAGAAATGGCAACTTGAGAGAACAGAGATGTGCTGTTATATAAAGCACAAAGGGAAACGTTTCTCAGTCTGAACCAGTCATCTGGGAGATACAACTTCAATCTGTTTTGACAGGGTCAATACTGTATGCAATAAATCTCACCAAGAATAATGTGATTTTTAGCAAATGAAACATAAACCCTCTTTTTTCTGTGCTGAAGCCCAAACAGTTTAGGTCATGTCACTGTGCTGTGGGTAGTTTCTTTGCTTATTTGGATTAAGTATTTCACTGCCAAATCAGACCCAAAATGACATCATCTTAACAGACACCCTAGGATATTTAGTAAACTGATACTGAGGAAAGACAATTCACGTAAACATTTTGCATATGTTTTTAAGGATTTACTGATCTGCTGATAAAACAATGTCAATCAACAAAAGCTGTTGTACTTCTCAGCCAATTTTCTACATCAGTGTTCACCATCATTTAAAATGCATAATTATATCACATCTTCTGGATTGAAAATAGGCATCTTAATACAGACGCATGTGTTTGTAATCACAAACAAAAATTAAGACTTAGTTATACAGCTGCAATCAAGCAATCCAAAACAGAGTCAAGAGGGTGGTGGTGAAAACTGAGTTGTGTACTTCCCCCTCACTGGCTCTGCAACCATAAGCACTAATATAACTTTATGTAAATTTGAATCCCTGTGTATTTATTTGTTGTAGTTGTGACATACATGACTGAGACTTGAGGAAAGATCAACATCTGAGCAAAGACAATACAGCACAAAAAGCAGCAGGGTCAGCCATGCTGAAGATCAGGTAAGTCCTAATAAAGATTCAAGTATGTCATTTTCTTACTAGTTGTAAAACAAGCATTGTCATTAACTTTCTCTCTTGTATGACATCTGATTTAATGTTTAGCATCTTTTGTAAATTGAATCACAGAACTGAACTCTAGGAGTAATCCTGTAACTTTTAAGTTCTCTGACACCGGGCGCAAACTCTGGCATCTTTTTCTAACTGGGAAACCCTACCACTGGGCGATCAATCAGTACAGACAGTGAAGCTGATCAATGGATAGGTTTTGGTACAACCTTGAGAAAAGAGAATGAAAATGCTACCTCGAGAACAACAAATTGTATATCTATACCCGAAAACATGACAGTGTGATACATCTCAAATTATTCTGTACCTTAAGTTTAATACTGTACTACAAGCTGTGTCCTTTTCAGCTACCCAGCCCTTTCAGATCTGCAGACATGTGCATGACAGTGATGGGATTAAATAGTAGAAGCCTCTGGGCCTCTGAAAGCGCAGTGGGATCCTTGTATCTGAAAGGATGTCTGATAACTCTATGCAGGGGCTTGCAGATAAGAAGCTGGTGCTGTCGGTAATCTGGTAACATTTTTTCTGCTCCTCACGTCTGCTCTTTTTGTCTGAAAAACACACTGTCTGTAGAAAGTTGATGATTCTTGGCCCAGCTTCTGCAGTGAGTTGTCAGAAGGATACAAAAGAGAAGATATAGGTAAATGAGGGAATGCTCCTTGGGATCAAGCTGTGGTTTGATTCCCCTCCTCTCATTTCCTCTCTTTCTTCCCTCCACCTCTCCATCGTCGCCTCTTCTGACCAGAACTTACAGTCCTGGCATCATCACAGCTTTGTGGCACCGCCCTCACAGCCCTGCTGGGTGAGAGGGGATTAGAGGAGGAGGAGGAGGCTGTAGGGCTTGTGTGTCTCTCCTTACTAGAGGAGGGGCAGGAAGTGTGTCAGGAGACATGTGCAATGAGTCTGACTCGGGTCTGGATGTCCTGGCGGCACAGGGGGCACGTCTCTAACTGTAAGGCACACTCCATACACATACCACTGTAAGAAGATGGATGAAAACACAACATAAAGGAAGATTTTATTATCCATTCATAGAAAATGCTGGACAGAGAAAACTAGCTTGATTGTAAATGGACAAAAGTGGCTATTTTATCCATGAATCTACACTCATGACAAAGTGAAAACATGTTTTTAGAATTTTTTGTAAATTTAGTAAAAATCAAAAACTGAAATGTCATATACTTAAGACCCATAATTCAGTACTTTGTAGAAGCAGCAATTACAGCTTCAAGTCTTCTTGGGTAAATTTCAACATGATTTGCACACCAGGAGTTGGGCAGTTTATCCCATTACTGTGAACCATCACCTCAGTCTCCGGTCACGTGCACTCTCACTCACGTCCCTGACATGCAGCATTTATTATGGGAACTTTCATACACAGGTGTGTGTGAGTGTGAGTATGTCCAATCAGTTAAATTTGCCAGAGGTGGACTCTGATCAAGGTCTAAACACTATTAAGCTATTAAAGCAACCAAACAGGATGCAGCTGACCACAATTTGGAGTGGCTCAGCAAAGGGTTTTTTGAAAAAAGAAAAAAAAAAAAAAGAAGAAAAAAAAGAAAAGAAAAGAGATTTCAGTTTTTGATTTTTAATAAATTTGCAAAGATTTCTACGAACATAAATCAGATGCACACATACCCATGTCCACAGGGCCGCAGCTCCGTGTCAGCCATGACGTCACAACACAGCGTGCAGCAGTTGTCTCGGATGCTAACCTGCTTTAGTAAGGCCAGACGCCGGTGTCTGGGAACAAACATACACACAAAAACAGATAAATATATTTCCACTTACAGACATGTATTTAATCTTGTTTCTTCAGTGTACAGAAATGAAAGCCCACGATAGCTACATTTCCTGCTGAATGGTATGTCACACTTTATTCAAATTCTTATATTCTTTTCTGTATATCATAATAGTCCAATGACCAATTTTTTAATAAGTAGATAAATATCAGTTGCGATATCTGAGTTAAGACCTTATTTTGAAGGCAGGAGCAATGTATATGCCTTTAGCAAGCATCAAAATACAAGATACATGTGAGTGATGTACAGCAGTAACTTTTCTGTCAGCGCCAGCTCACTGCAGACAATGTGTACATGTTTGATGCAGTACAAACAACACTGCAATCATTTTTTTCCTTTGTCAAGTTTATAGTGTTCAGATTGTGTTGACACAGCATAAGAGAGGGGTTGATTCTAATATGGAAATGTTCAAGGTCGCATTGTTGCACTCGATTGCCTAAGGGTTTGGGTGAAAATCTCCACAAAGATGGTGTTTATCACACGGCCACAGACGTGTCACATGGCTGACATTTTGCCATGTTAAACACAGGTAAGTATCATTAATAGGTGCATTTCATGTTGGTGGAGTATTGTGGATCCTGGGTCACTGCCACAGTTGACTAGAAACCCTACATTGAAGAGACATAACCAAGTGTCTCCTGTAAGAAAGGTCTGTGGTATAGTACAACATTAGACTATAAAGGTGATGCACAACTCCAATGCATGTTAGCCTGTTTATTTCATTACATTTAATTTTTCTAAATAAAGTCTTTTTCAAGTCATCATATTTACAAAAAGTCTAAAGAGCTGCTTTAATGTAGCCAACAAATTTAAGAGTGATGAAAATTCTCTATGTACACACAAGCAACCCAAAACGATGAGTCATGTTTGTATAAAGTCATACCTACGTGTTGAACACTGTATGCAAACAAATGATTCACTTCGAGGACCAGTTTCACTTTGTACCTGGGTAGGATGATCTTTTCACTGGGCATCAGTGAAGCAAAGTCATTGAAGGTGCTGAACTTGACAGAGGGTGGGTGACGGAAAGGCTTGGCCCCAAAGTTAAACTCACACTGCTGGTATGACATAAAGCTGGCAGCAGCGAAGAAACCCGACCTGTCAGAGACATAGGTGAAGGAAAAAAATGGGGTTTAGTTGAGAGAAGATGGACAGACAGAGGAAGGAAGAGAGAAAAGAAGCAAAGAAGGAAGGAAAGAGGGAAAAATCAAGAACAGAAGAAGAGGAGGGAAATGAATGATGGGGTCTTTCCACTGAAACAAGAGCCATAAAACAAAAACTGTAGAAAAAGTAACAGAAATTCACAAGTTGCGTGGACTTACGTGGCTGATGAGAAGACCTGTTTCTCTGGTGGCAGCTGATGTCCATTCAGATAGAAGATCATCTGCTTCTTACTGAGGTCCAACAGGAAGCCAATGGCATCTCCTAAACAGGACAAACACATGCAGAAGAATAAAGTATTGACATGCTAGTATTTCTATTATGCCTCCATGTGGGAGGTAAATCAGAGCCTGAATGCTGGCGGTGACAGCAGCATGTGGGCACCAAAATCACAAAGCACTTCAGAGACACCAAAGACAATATATCTATTTCTAAACGAATGAATCTGACATTTAAAGTGAGGTGTCCCTCTCTTGTACATTGAAATAGTAGTCCTGAGTAATAACAGTGTGTGTTTATGTGTGTTTAGTGCATACCCTCTTTCCAGCAGGGGTGAGAGTGAGGTTTACTGCGAGCGTTGTACCAGATGAGCTGCCTGCAGCCATCATAGGCACATGAATATTCATCATCTCCTATTCCATAACCCTCCTGTAACACACACATACACAAAATGCTTAAGTATATGGCTGCAGAGAACCGAAATGTGCAAAGGTTGAACGGTAAACACACTGAAGAGGATTACATGGTTGAGGAACTTGCTGTCCTTGGTGGCCCATCCGATTTGCATCACGCCTGATGTAATGACGGTCACCTCGTAGTACCAAACGCCTGAATCCACGCAGAAAGTACAACGCACGCTCTCAAAGGACGAGGCATCACATCGTGCCTGATGACGAGAGCAAAAGGAGGAAGAAAGCATTAATGAGTTATTCAGATTTTATATATACACTTGATAAAAACGTTTACATTAGGTTAATGAATATAAAATATTAAAACATCAATAAGTACTGAATGAGCGGATCTGCTACTGATCGCATGAACATCCCTGAATTCTAATAAATGTGGCTATTGTCATAAGACTACACACAGACTAACCTCTAGTCCAGTGGGGGAAATCTTGAGGTACTCGCTGACATCGTTGCTGTTGAGCATGGCGTTGATATTAGTGAGGTTGACCTTCTCGTAGGTGAACTGACGACCCTCCTTAAGAACTGGACAGGGGATGACAAAGCAAATTTCTTTCTTCACCGACTCACACACACATTTAACTAATTAAACAGACTGACGCCGACTCTTCAATCTGTGATCCCACACAAACATACAATGTTGAAAATATGGGGCAACTCACACAGGTTGTCAAGGCTCCACTGTGAACAGAATCCAACCTGCCTCTTCAGGTAGTCGGGATGCTCCGCCCATGACTCCAGGACACCAAGTCGATTGCTGATACAAGACTCGGACACTGTCAGTTTGTTCTCACCTGAGGGCAAGAAGTGAGTTTGATGAGGAATGACTAAATGAATAAACACAACAAAACAATTTTAAAACATTGTAAAGAAGAAGTTGCAACTGACTGAAACCCTTAGCTGGTGGCAGCTGAAGACTAACTTGTTAGGTCAGAAGTGCAGCCCATCCTGTCTCTGTCTCACAGCATAATATCATATATAAAACTAATGAAAGCACCACGAGGTAGTAGAAGAAAATTAAAGCAGAAACACTGGACAGGCCTGTTGTCATGGAAACGGTAAACAGCATCTCTGCTTAATGCTCTGATAAGGTCACTTTCGTTCTTATTTTTGTATCGTTTCCAAGGAAGTCACTTGTGTTCACCTGTCTCATCATTAATCTTGATTTTGAAATGGCTTTATGATACAGGGAGTGAACCTACTGGTCTGGGAGAACTTCTCCAAAGCGATGAGAGCAAACAGCATGACAGTAGGGTGGGCCTCAGAACTCTGGAGGAAAGAAACCGTCGTCAGTGTGTGGACTTTATTTCAAGTTGAATGTGCTGAAGAACGACAAAAGGTGCAACTGTGACAAGTGGTTGTGTGTGTATATGTTTGCTCACCAGGCTCTCTAGAAGGTACTCAAGGGTTCCAGGGCTCAATAGTCCGATACTGGCTGGTCCTGTCATGAGGACAAAGTATTTAAAGTATTTATTTTTTCCTGCCATTGAGATGAGCTGCTTATTGATACCAAGAATATTTAGTAACTGAGCTAAATTAGTTTAATCCGTATGTAGAGATACATAAAGGACTCTGGGTAAGTAGTAAAAATAGTAAAAAAAAAAAAAGTACCCCCAAACAAAAGGCCTTGTAATTTGACAAATGTTGTGTTCTTGTAATCAGTTGTTCGCAGTCAGTGGTTGAGTGTGTTGGACTGTCTGCACGATCACAGTGAGCAAGTAACACGCCAATGGAAGCAGTAAAGATCAAGAATATGTGTGTGTGTGTAAACATGAACTGTACCAGCCAGTTTCTCTGCCAGGCATCCTAGGACAGCTGTGGTGTTTCTGTGTTTAGCAGGGTTTAGAGCGTCCTGTTGTGCTACAGCCGAACTCAGACTCAACATATCAGAGAGTTTCTGGAGAGCATCCTGGAGAGAGCATATGGACCAGTTACTTCAACGACAGTTACATACACACACAGTTTCTATGAAACAATCCCAAGGTTGGGAAGGATGGAGAGATAAAATATGTCAAGATTTCAAAATCCAGACATTTGTGATGAATAAATCTACAACACAGGTCATAATACCAGGTAATAAAGTCAAGTGTGAGGCAAAATACAGTGGGGCGTATGTACAGATGCACCCATACACACATTCTTACTACTGCTGGCAGGAAAAGACAGAGGTAATTGTAAGCCAGAGATAGCACATCAAGAAAATTAAATTTAACAGGGACACAGTGTCACTGCTGCACCAGAAACCTGGATCAGCTGGTATCAACCTAACCAGATTTTATTTGTCTAAAGGGAAATAAACAAGTGGGGTTAAAAAAAGGGGGTGGAAAGCAGATGCCAGAATTTCTAGCTATGTCCCTGTACGTACGTACATAAATACACACACACACACACAGAGCTGCACAAAAAACATTAAATTGCCAAAACCAATGGAAATGAATGAACCTACAGCTTTTCACTCACACACTCACACACACACACACAAAAGACACAAACCTTGGTGGGCAGGGGACACTCATCCAATAGAAGGGTGATCACTGCAGGGCCAAGCGGATCGTCCAATGGGATCACTCGAATCAGGGACTGGACGACCTCCAGCCAACCATCATCTAAGAAAGGAAAGAAGAAAGTTTTGATTTGAGGTTCAACTGACTGAATTCATCTGACCATTCATAAAAATCCTGTTACATACAACTGTATGAAAGACCACTCAGTCCGTTTTTGCGGGCTTGGCTACAGCCACTTCCATATGATGGCTTTCTTTCTTGCAGCCAAGACTATTTTAAACAGATTTTCATCCTAAGCCATGAGTTCGTCTGGTATTTTTTGCGCAGGGAAACTGTGATAAAGGAGCAGTTAGTGTGACTCACCGGATATAGGCTTTGGGTATAAGCCTGCCATTGGGCGACTATCCCAGGCAGCATTCTGCTCCTTTCTGCTTCCCCTGTCTGTTACTGTTCTCAAAATCCCCTTCGCTATGGGAAACAACAACAACAACCTCCGAGCTAACAACCTACACACTGAAAATGTCAAGTTTTGATCAGGATTTGGATCATGCAATCACATAGTCAACACTCATAGCTGCAGTTTTTTGAGGTGTTTTCTTTGCTTGGATTTAGCATGTTCAAGTTCCCCTCAAACACTACTTTGCAGAGGCACAGTCGCCACATCCTGGGTGCAGCAGCACCTAAGATAATTGGGATTGGTTTTAAGAAATGCAAAAAAGCCAGATTGTTTTTTCCCCCAATAAGAGAATGAAATGGGTGCAGCCAGACCATTCTCCAACGCTGTTTGTCGAAAGGTGTTTAAAAGCCATTATTACAAGTTATTATATCTTTATTAACCCAATGCCTTAACTGCATATCATGCCTGCATGATATACCATCCATTTCAGTAGTCGTGCATGCTTTTGGAGGTCTTAAACAATACCCTTGAGTCTGTTTTCACTTATGCAAAAAACATATGACAACAGTAACTTATTTCCACAGATGGAGGATAATTTTCACATTGGTCAAAATAATAAAATATGTCAGGGACAGTGTTTGGGAAAACCCTACTGATACTTTATCTTCTTGCCACAGTTGTTATTGAAGACTGGATAACACTTCAACATTGTATCTATGTTATATTATATCTACATTGTGTCTTCAGACAGATGTTTCTCTTCTTTGGCAGTTTTCTTCATGATAAACCAGACAACTCAAAGGTAATTGAAATGTGTTGAAATTTCTTTGTGAGACAGTCTCCTGGACTATGAGTATTGGATGCAGTTCAAATGCAAAAACACCCATTTCCTGTCCATTAGATGACTCAGTAACAAACACTCTCTCCATAACCCTATCACTGATGAAAGCCAACTTGCTTATGAATAATGTAACGTGATAGCACATGTCAAACAGAAAGTGACTGGCTGGGCTGACTGACTTGCTGCTTGGCTGCCTTCAGGGTTCAGTATCTGCAAGCTAATACCCAACTTGGCTGTTGTCAAGCCACACAACACCACACCATGTGAGCATCAAACACCATATGTGCAAGACACAAGGCCCAAAACACAAGCTACCACATTAGCATAGCCAACCACTCTCTCTTACACACACAGCATGAAAGCATCATTTACCATATGCACAAGAAAGCACACACAACAAACCAAAAACACACACAAACATCCACAGAATAAACACAAACCCAAATAAGAAACAGACTTTACGGTTACTGTCCAACAAAAGAATACAGCAACTCTGTGATGTTTTGTTAGCTTGCTGCAAAAACTATCAAAAACAGAAGAGGAATATTTCAATCCTATTTAGACAAAGTTTACATGAAGCGGCCCGTACATGATGTTGGCAGTGTAAGTCGTGACCATGTCCCTTCCCCAGGTGATGTAATGTTACCCTGAGCAGGGCCAGTGGATGTTTTGGAGAAATGCTATGGCAGCAATATTACAGCAAGATTGTAACCAGCAGATAGGTGGTGTTGCAGCCTCCCTCCTTTGTTCAGTGAAGGTTTCTCTTGACATAAATGGCCTCTTTTACACCTCATCCAAATCTACCTGTCCTACTTGTGTAGGATTTGTACATTTTGGTCACTAAAATTGTGTTTCTTCTTAATAACAGAACACAGCTCTAAATATGTCAAACTGAGTTAGTTTCATTTCAACCTTAAGAAACACTGAACTTAACCTCATGTCCAAGGAGTTATACAAGTGACTAAAATCAATTAAAACACGGTTCAGTTGGTGGATACAACATTAGCCAACTTGTCAAATTACTGTTTTTGAGTAGAGCTAATGTTCATACCTTTTCCCTATTTTAAAAACAATGATTTTTAATTTTGTTTCATTTGATATATGGATGAAAAGCTGTCTGGCAAGTGCACACTCAGCGTGTGAATGAGTATTTCATTTTTTTTTTTTCCTTACCCGTCTCTGCCATCTCATGCAAAGTGATCATGGAGTAAGGGGGCTCTTGGTCACTGAAAAACAAAACAGACCACACAATATGATAACAGCCTGGTTTAGGAGTGTTTACCTGACTGTTAAACATCACAAACTCAAAACTGCATTTAGTGATATGTGCGCTCATTTATGTGCATGTTTTACAAAAATAGACATGGTGCTTTTCAGTAAGACCATTCAACCAGTAAATAAAGTGTTTATAACCCTGTGATCACTGCGTCTGACAACAAACGACTCAGCCTTTGGGTTTCTATCATTCCAGTAATGGCTATGGACAGTAATGTTATCCCACAGAGAAGAATGTAAGCATATAATTGTGATGGATTTACTTCACTGGGTGGCGTTGATGATGCTGCTGCTATGACTGTTGCTTTTCATGGCTCATCCCAAGCTGAAAACTGCTTTACAGTTGATCGACTTACTGCGTAAAAAGCTAAATGTTTTAGTACCATGACCAATACAACACTACAAACTACAGTTTCAAAAGTGACCAGTTAAATCAACATCTCGCTGACAGAAAGTCAATTAAAAACAAACATCAGAAGTTGCACAATGGTTTTTAATTTTTGTAGGGTTAGTTGTACTGCATTGGATTTTAACCTCTGATTTTTCTGTTTTCTGTCCACTGCTTTTTTTCCTCACCAGCCTGGAATAGAGACAGGGTTTCTTTAAGGGAGGCTGAGAAACCTTGGGCATACTATTAAGCTCCTGCTGTCACTAATAGGATCAGACTATTAACCAGACAAACATGACAGACTACAGTGCCAATAATTTACATCAACCTATTTTAACATTGATTCATTTTAATTTTACATGTCAATTAAATTTTCTGAAACGTACCGCACTCAACATCCTGCCCATATTTTGTTCTCAAAGCCAACCAAACCCATGCTGATGAAAACCTCCAAAGGGGTCCCACTGAACAGCTTTTCTCAGAAGACAATGATCGTTCAGTGAAAGAGGAAGATCAGCACTGAAGCAAGCAACACCTCACAACATGCTATATCATTGCAGCAAGTCATCACCAAACCAAGAGAGAAAACTGACTTGCACGAAGTTGTCACACCAATTTAATAACAGAGAAAAGTTCTGTTAAAAGAATGACTGTGTGTGTTTTTTTTTTGTTAGCTCAGGTGAAAAAAGTCAGTTAAATTATTTTGTCCCCTTGATTGATCATTCTTTTCCACAGCCTTTACATTTTTATGTTTTAGGCAGGTGTTTTGTGAAGTTACTGAATTATTACACAAATAACCTGCAATTATGTATTTTGGTATTATCTTTCAGTTATACGAGAAATCCTGGTTATGAACGTGGACATCTTTTTTAATGACTGCACTGGCATTATCAACCAAACAGATGCCCACCAAAAGCAAAAAGTATGGAGTGTGTCCCTAATAACAATGATTGCACTGTTCCCACACTCCACAATGCTATAGCTATTAAAAAAAAACAAAAAAAAAACAAAAAAACTATTGATATTTCAGCTTAAATACATTTGGCTCACATATTATATCATTGGTAGTTCCTCAATAACACGACAATCAATGCGAAAGTAGAACATCTTTGGGATTTTCCCTGTGGGATTTCTGCACAATATATTGTACTGTGCTACTATTTGTTCCAAAGAAAAACAACTGACTCATCTCCAGGCATGACTTTACTTTGTAACCATTACTCCTTGAACCACCTTTGTCAAACCTGTGAATGCGATATTTATGTGTCAGTGACCATAAACAACCTCATGTGATGCTCCTTCTGGGAGACCTCCATGTTTTTCTGATTCAAGTGAGCATGTGTTTGACTGAGTTTGAGTTTGGGCAGCTAATGTGGAGGTGTGTGTGTGTTTGTGATGTGTGATTGTGGCATTTGATCCCCACTGCTCTAGCTGACAGAATTACAACCCTCATGTTGAAATATAACTCGCTGTATGAAAACAAACAAAGGAATCAAGAAGGTTCAAATATTCTGAGACAACACACTTGCTGAATAGGCTGGTACATATTGATTACTTTACCAGGGCACTGCTTCTGGCCTATTGCTGCTACAAATTGCACAACTTTAAGCGTAGAAGTATCTACATGTAAATGACAATAATATATTTTTTTAAGTTTTCAAACTTTTAATGGACAGAATGTCCTCATGATCCTGTTTCAAGAATTTTTTTTAGTTACCTGAGACACTGTCAGAGCTCAACAGATACTGTTTTTGAAAGTTTAGAATATTAATTTAAAAAAAACTTCATAGACCACTCTGACTCTTCATTCCATCCTCAACCTTATATTATTAATAGCATAACTAGACTTACTTGTCTACAAGTGTCCTGATAACAGCCAGTGTGTCCAGCACCAGGCCATCCACATTCTGCTTCTTCCGTCGTGGCTCATGAGGCCCTCGCCCTCGGCGTGGCGGTCTGACTGGGTCCCTAGGCCGACTGCTACGAGCCTCTCCAGCGTCAGCACCTACACCTGTACCATGATCCACCCGCCTAGCTTGTCCTCGGGGCGCCCTCGCTGATCCATGGTGATGGTCCTCCAAGTCACTATCCTCCCGGCACACACAGCTGTTACCCATTGTTCCAGTGCTGGAGACCACACTGGCAAGGGTCTCCCAGAATGAAGGAAGGGAGTTTGAGGAAGGGAAGAGCAGAACCCTTGCAAGGCTCCTGCAGGCACAGAAAGTGATCCAGGTGGCTACTATCATATCATTGGGAGAGCTTGATTTTGGGGGACTCTTGCCCCAGTGGGCTGGGTGGGGTCAGCGTAAATGATCATACTGTTGCCAAGCACAGATGTGGGATTGGTTTGGGAGCAGTAATATATGGCTTGTTAAATGAATCAGGAGGGGTGAGTTGATGCAAGGAGACAGGCTCTAAGCATCATAGACAGCAAGATTCAGGTCCAGCTGCACAGCTGTGGAAGCAACACAAACAAAACACAAAAAGTAAAACTCTGCCCTTACATCCCATATAAAGTTTAACAGCTGATAATAATCTGCCAGCTAAGCTCAAAACTGGCGGAAGTGATACATGTGATAAAAGAATGAAAACTAGAAAGAAAATCAACATTAGCTGTTCATCTCTCAAGCCAAGTAGCTACTATACGTCTTGCTGTTTTAATCTAGAGTTGTGCTGTTTAAGTAGAAAGTTACAGTGTATTAACAATGATCTCATTATAATAAATGTTTTTGTAATATTGATAAACAAGAGCTTTTCGGTTAGCTGGCTAGGAATCTAGCCACCCACCAAACAAGCATTGTAACGTTAGTAGTTCAAAATGAAAACCAAGTCTCACAAACTCGCACGTATCATTTCATTGTACACTATAATGGTTTAATTTTAACCTTGACGCATACTTACGATGCTACAACTTGAAAAACAACAGCATTCAAACGCATGCGAGCCAGAACAAAGTAGCTGACAGAACAGGCAGCTAACTAGCTGCGTTGTGTAGTAGCTAACTAGCTTACGCTAGCTGTTAGCCGGTTAGCTGGACACTCCTCTGATTCCACTGTCGAACGACACACAAGTTAGCTAACATGACTAGCCATGAACTAAACGTGCGACCCAAACACAGGTGAAGTATAGGGGCACATTTATGTGACCCGCCTATATTCCGCAACACACCTTTGCTGAAGTCTAAAACATCACATTCATATGACGGTTAGCTGGGACCTCTTACACATTTTAAAGACGCGACACCGCTAGCTGCCTGCTAAGTTCCGTAGCGTTAGCAGCTAACGTTAAAAGGCTGGCCATCATTAACTGTGGATGCGGAGGCGACGCTGACGAAGGAGGGAAGAGGATATCTGTTGAGGACAACGTCAACATTCAGACCATATATTCAAGACCATATACTATAAAACAAAAACTTTATTTCTCTCTCTCTGTCTTCTCTCTCTCTCTCTTTCATTATCTATTATGTATTACGTTAGCTATAATATTTAGTTTTGATTTGTGTAGACTTATGTTTCTGTATCTTGTATATGTATTGTTTTATGACAGAAAAAACATTAAAGGAAATCAGTTCTACATCCCCAAAAGAAGATAGCTTCAGAATTAAGATCGTGAGAAGCAAAAAGAAAATCAACAACAACATTAGTCTATATGAGATGAATATGCAGCATGGAGCTGAAAGTAGTTACATTACACCAGGGGCGGGGCCAGACATTGTAAACATTCGAGGCTTAGCCCAAACTTCATTCGATATTCAGGGGACTTCCTCCCTCAGGGAATTTTCCAGAGTCTGCACTGCCCAAACCTTTCACTACAGTGACATAAAAAGAGGCAAAAAATTGTCTCATGTTACTATTTTGAATTTACATGAGATAGGTGGGGAATGAATTTGGCATAAACAGCATCACAAATCTTGAAACCGATTTTTGTTACACTATGCAGGAGTAGAGTTCACAGATTTAATGTTTAGATGACAAATCTACATTTAAATCCAGACAATAATAATATGTGCTACTTTAACTGAGCAGTCATGGATCCACAAGGCCAAGTAAACGTCTTCACTACTCTGAACTGAATATTAGGCCAACAGAAGAACATCCACTCTAATGATATTAAATTTCTTTTATTAACATTTATTGACACGAAAATAATAACATTAACTCAAGGTCTTTCAGATCCGGGAATCAGAATGATACAGCAGAGAGAAGCTGAAGGTGGGCTCAGTGACAGCAGGATCCAGGTCCATATTCCAGGCCGTAGTCCATTAAAGTGGTTTAACAACTTTAGGCTGGTTTGATTTGATAATATTATTTAATAAAATAACTGGGTAAATAAAAGCATCCACAATATGAAGTGAAACAAATGTGACAGACCACAACAAAATATATCTATATACTGTATATATCTGTTCTTTCCCTATAGTCAGGGAATAAACACTAAATTCACTAATATTATCAGTTTTTAAATGGCTGATGCTCAAAACATATAATTTCTCATAAAGTTGAAAGAATGAAAAGGCTTACATGCTCTGACCTGCATTCTTAATGCTGTAATAAAAGGGTTTTAGCTCATCATCAAATGGGATAGTTGTCCATACATTGAATAGGTATTCTTTTTCTGTTTACACCATTTTACATAGACTGATCTACAATAAGAGACCTCATGGTTCAAAACACACAACCAAACGTTTTTCACTAAGTCAACTAAACATTTAAATGGTGTGCTTTAAATTGGGACAGTCATACACTCTGCTTCGGTCTAGGGCTGTATTGAAGGAGTTGTCACAATACATCCCACTCTTGCCCAGGTCCTCAGAGAATCTTTGTGATTTAGGGTGGAAGGTACACGGTGAGCTTTCAAAGGTTGGAGAGCGAAGACCATAGTCGCTGGAAGTGGTCCTGTACAGAGGATTCTGGGGCTTTGCCCACGACGCTGGCAGTACACCTTTAACTGCTGGAGTCATCATGCAGGAGAAAACTGGGTTTCCAGGGCTAGCACAGGTTTTTGTGTTTTTTACCTGCTGTTCTTGAGAGGCTGACATCCTTGCAGTACCTATAAAAAGAAAATGATATCAGAATTAATGAACTGAAGCTTCGGTGCAAGATTACACAAAACCAAGCTAATTTATAATAAAAAAAGTGTCTACAGTGAAATATCAACAGCTATTTTATTCCAAAAGTATTGATCTAAGCGTAGCTGAGCTAATTATCAACATATTCATATAGTTACCTTCAAATGCAATAAAAAGCGTGTTAGCCAGAGCACGTCTCAGAGAAAAAGCGTCTGGTTACTATGGAAACCGTGAAACATTACGTGGGATGGCCAGCCGAATTCATTCTCAACAGTAGTGCAACAAAATAAATTTCCTCAGGCTTTTTATCTGACCTTTCAGCTCACTGTCTTCATCAGAATTTTGCAGTTTGCTTGGTTGTCGTGGAGTCAACATGCATTCGGTGGAATCATTCACTGTGTGGGATTTACAATACATTAACAACGTAATTTTGATTTTAGTTTGATTGATTTTTAAAATCTACAATTACAAATTCTGACTTTCATGGAGCTATTTGTACATTGGTTACAACTCACATTAACCGACACAACCAAATCGTGTTTTATATGTAATCCAGAATGTTACTACGGCACATGAAGGTATCATCGGTTTGCATCATCACCAAGCGTCAGCTGTTTACGCACAACTACCGCGTCTACTCATTTCAAACGGCTAAAGAATTCTGAACAAATCGAAACTCTAACCGCATTATTCAGAGACTTTGGCGGCCCGCGTGCTACTGTTGCTTTCTTATTATTTGTTTTGGCTAACTGTAAGTAGATTTGTAAGTGTAGCGGTGGACTCTGACACGCTGCCTACACCTTCTTCCACAGTGTGACCTGTGAAGCGGTTAGCTTGAGGCTAACACGGTCAGAGGAGAAGACGTGAGCAGCTCGACCTGGGGTCCTGCTCAGAAGATGGACAGTGAAATCCAAAGAGATGGGAGAGTCCTTGACCTCACTGATGATGCCTGGAGGGAAGATAAGCTGCCATATGAAGATGTCACCATCCCACTGGTACATTGGTGCTACTGCGCTACACAGATTATTGTTAGCATTAGCAGGAACAAACGTTCACAGAGTTTGTTTACAGTCAGGTGCAGGGATTTCTCATCGATGCACATAGATTTGGTTTTCATTAAGGAGATGTTTTTAATTTTTTTTTTTTAAACTACTGTTAGTTCAGCTTATATGGAAGTTTATTGGTCTTAATAATGTTTAGTGTGCACAAAACAAACCCAATCTGTAATCAGTTTGTGAAAGTTTTGAGTACAGGAGTCCAAATATTGTTTTCCAGCTGGTATGATGGTACTCCCTAATGTTTTAGGCTAAAAGGCTTAAATAGGACACATTACAGAAATTAGACAATTGACAAATTTGATGAAGTGCACAAGGAACATCCATGACATTTGTGATCCTGGCTTTGCATGCTCTCTGCTTTTATCTCAATAACATCATACTGCTATACCATCATACTAATAAAAAATATAGTGAACTGAGATGGATGTAACTCGTGAGCCTCTTGCTCCTCATTTTCATGCCATCTTGTCTTCTCTGTTCTCTGATAGAGTGAACTGCCTGAGGCTGAGCAGGACAATGGTGGATCCACAGAGTCTGTAAAAGAACAAGAGATGAAGTGGACAGACCTCGCCCTGCAGAGCCTTCATGAAAACACACCGAGCACTGGAAGCTGAAAGACTTATAACGCAAGTTGCAGCCACTTCCAAACAACTCTATACTTCATCTCACAACTACTAAGACTGTATTACAACAGGACAAACAGGCCTACAAAATCAATTGCTATTCACCTATACTATACCTAAATGTGGATTATTTTGACCTCGTTCCCTGCCTTCTTATCTTGAGGCAGTGCATCTAACCATATTATTCTGAACACTCGAAGGAAAATGTCATGACATGCATAACTCTGCTTTGAAAATTACATATTATCTCTTCCTGTGGCTGTCAGATCTATGCTTAGATGGCTGTTGGTGTAACTGAAGCAACAGTCTCTTGGCTCCAGGCCTCTCTGGAAACCTCCCTGAGAGGTTGCAATGAGAAAAGAATATCCTGGCTGCAGCTCCCATCATCACTGTCTCTGCGGCCTATGCCATGAGCTTGCGGACATGGTCATGTGACCCCTTCCCCAGAAGAACTGAGGGGTGTCGGTAGGAGCCCCCCAGGCGATCCCAGAGCGTGAAGTACTGTCCATAGTTGTAGTTGAAGTAGAGGTGATGGTCTACGTGGTGAGCAGCGCCGTTGATCAGATATATCAGAGGGCTGGGTATGCGGTAGTCTCCATCATGTATGGAAATGGTCCAGATGTTGACAAAGATAAAGAGTGAGAGGTAGACCACCTGCAATGTAAATATTCCAAATGTCATTTTATAACACTTAACAGATAAGTGACAGAGCTTATACCTTGTTAATGATGTACTTTTTGACCTGTGTCATCAAAATGTGTCCACATTTGTCCTCATATTTCAATTAAAGTTTAAATCAGTGCAGTGAGTGAAGATTGTGCACTCATAATTTGCAATATTTTTTCTCCTCAAACCTCAGATCTAACATGAAGATATTTAGTAAAGAGTGACAGTCAGACCACCACCTTGTGAAGGGGGAAGATGAATGGGTAGACGTGGTAGGGTAAGCTCTGCAGGAAGCCGTCAAGTGGGTGGAAGGCATGGCTGGCAAATGGTGTGGGGATCTTGAATATGTGATGCTGCTTATGTAAGTGCTGAAGGGAAGAAACACAAGTGGTCTGAATATTAGGACTATTTTAGTGAAAAAGACACCATGCAAACAGGGGACTCATAAATTTAGAGTAAATTAAGATAAGTAATTATGATGGAGTGAAAGAGTCATATTCCGTAACCTTTATGAAATTTGAACATCCTAAGTGATCCATCTAACAAATAGATGTTTAGAAATGTACAGTTATGGATTTCATATATTTATTTGTAATTCAAATGTCGAGCCCTGACTTCCCAAAAATACTTCCAAATTTACCCCACCCTCACCTTGTAAATGCTCTTATGGTGCATGCCCCGGTGTATCCAGTAGATGCACATGTCAGTAAAGAACAAAAAACCAGCAATGCTCTGGAACACTCCCAGCCAGCCTGAAACAGAAACAAATGAGTCATAAAGATCAATTATGTTTCAAAATGTTTATCATATAAGAAATTCTGGATTCATGGCAGGATTCAGATAAGTCAGTTAATCATGTTTTTTGAATTTTGAATTTCAATCAATGTTTACATGAACCATGGCCTCGCTTTTAAGGTTGTAAGTAACTTTTTTTTTTTTTACCTAGGGAAGATTTGTTGTTGTCGTAAAGTTTGCTGTGTCCCCTGACCTCCCAGAAGAAAAGGGCTACTGTGGGGAAGCTCATCCAGAAGATAGAGACAGTTCCTAGTTGTATCTCTTTTCTTACCTGGTTCTGTTATTGGATCAAAGACATAAAGTTAGTATCTGGAGGAAGTTTGCTTTGGAGTGGTTAGGAGGTTTAATGTTATCTTAAATAACAGAGACAGGACAGTCACAGTTACTACTAGTTCAAACCCCCAGTCAGTTCATTAACTATAAACTGGTCTGTGAATACAGAGCCTCATCCATTAAACAGCCTACCTTAATAAACTGTGGATGTTTCATGAGCTTATGGTCAAACACGTAGTAGAAGTTAAGAGCACCAAAGCCCAGGTAAATCAGCTGTGCTCCCAGATTGGTCACCACCCACAGGCTGATAATCTGGCGCAGAGCTTCATCCTCAGGCCACAAGGCCGGGTAAACGTATGGAGTGAAGAAGTAATGATCAGCGATGTTCAACACATGATCCATGGCACGATCTGTGAGTTAAAAACAATTGAAAGGTCAGTCTTACTCCTCACCACCATGACAAAGTCAACTAAAGATATGTGTGAGAGAAACAAACTAATCACTGTAGGACGAAGAAGAACTGGCTGAACATTCCAAGGATTTTAGCTGTGACAAAAACTAAAACACGTAAAGGTGCAGAAATGGTTTTCTCCGAGAAGACACTTTGAAAGAACTGTGAATCCTTGTAAACTGTATTTAAAGGCTTTGCAGTTTATTGCGCCCGACATGCCAGAGTTAGTTTAAAAACATTAGTACACAAACTATAAATGATATATTATTCAGCACTGAGTAAAAGTAGTATTTACTCCACTGCAACTACTAAAAACTATGTAGATCAGTTTTGTTTCCATACCTGTACAAATGGCCACTGTCCCAGTGCAGGCTGCTATCCCAGTGTCATAATACTGAAGCTCAAAAGACTCTAATTTCGCTTCTATTAATATAACTGTACTTGTTAGAGTGAATGCTGTTTTAACTGTTGGCTGTACGTTGCTGACTGATGATTAGACCAAAGTCCTGACTTTGTTTAACTTTGTTGATAAGATGTCAATTAGACTATATTCAACCATTAGTCTCCACTCCTCTGTTTTAGAATGACCACACAATTTTAATCAGTGTGAAAACAGAGAATCTGCAAACAATGGAATTGTTTTGAGGCAGGAAAGAACAGTAGAGTTTGTTAAGGAATCCTCTCACTCAGTTGCTGAAGGATGCTGTGCATTTCAGGATATAGCTCAGCAAAGCAGTGCTTCAAGTGATGCAGATTTCAGTTTCTTTTTTACAGTCTTCATAAAGGTTTATACTCAGTTCTATTAGATGTTTATGCCCAATTCATTGCTTTTCATAATGGAGGAATTAAGCATAAAATTGTATGAATTTATATTTGCCTTCATTATAATATATACAAATATTATTGGCATTAACTGAAAACAAATAGGTGGACTAGCAAAATGATAACTGTACACCTGCTGCAGGACAACTGCCCTTTACTGAAAAAAAATCCCAAGCTCTACAAGCACCTTTACCATGTATTCTGATTTACTAATTCAAATTGTTTCAGTATACATCTTTATGGCCATTTCAAGATATTTCACACACCTGTTTCATGCTTTAAAAGCATTATCTTATCAGGATTTTCAAAAAAGTTGCTGCTGAACTGACCTGCTTTAGGACCAGGGCACGACATCAGTTGTGTGAACCTTCCTAGAAAGTGGAGGGGTCCTCCTTCTTCCACACCACCAGTATATGATTTGTGACAGAAAGCATGTGGCCTTATGTTGAAAATTGTTTAGTGGCGGATAAAGCACACACTAATATGAATTGACCATGCATTCCTTCCCGTAGAAGGTTAAAAGGAGGCTCTTGCTTGCTTCATTTTGTTGAGGCAGTGAGTTTGTTGAGAGGAGTGAGGGAGACGCAAATATAAATCCTGGTGGAACAAGATCCTAGCATGCTCAGCAAATAACAAGGAGCTCAGTGACAGCAGGACACATGATCCTACAGTCATTTTCTGGTCATTTCAGAGCAGTTTTAGCGGCACATACTTCATTTGCTTCCAAGTGATGAAATGTGCTTCATTATAATATGAGTTAGTCTCAAATCTGATGTATTTATATAGCATATAGGCACATTGATGAGACATCTGAAATGGCATTATGGCCTTTAAACCATTTATTGAAAATTCTGAACCACTCGTATCTGTTTTAATGCAAAATGAAATCTCTTACAGGGGTAAATGTCATTTTTTACAGAGCATGTCTGCTGCCCCATGGTGGGCTGTAGGATCAAATTCCCCTTGAACTGTCTGCCCTTTACACACAAACACACACACACACACACCACGTACGCATCCCATACATATGCACAGAGCAAAAGTAAAATATGAGTTGATCAGAAGGAAAAAATATTTAGTACCTTAATGATCATAAAACATCTTATCAGACCTGGAGAGTCTGTGCGTCAGCATTTCCAACCTGTCACATACAAATATATCACAGACAACAGTGTGCATACTGTCACTCAGCAAGAAACACAAGTGGATGATGTTATCTTTTAGTGTCAGACTGAGGAGGAAGACGCTTGCACAGAGACTCTGAACAGAACAGTGAATGTTTTCACACAAAGAGCTTTATGTTCCACTCCATCTTTGTCTGTAGCTGATGTTAATTTTTTTTTTTATCCATTATCACTTATATTATCACTTCTTTCTTGTATATTTAATGTAGGGCTACTGTATAGTTCTCTAGATTGTGAACAAGACTGTGACAATGAATATGTGTATCAGTGTTTTACATGTGTAGATAATTTTTTGGCTGTGTGCTCCTTCAAAGTAAAAGTCCACACTCTACTACATGGCTTTCTTACACTGTTTTCCCCTATGTTGTAGTGTTTGGTATCTTTCACCTCTCTCTAATGATAAAAGTAGTAATTACTTGCACTCATTGCATAGAAGTTTCATATGTAATAGTGAGGAAATGACTGAGAACCAGACAGCTCTCACAAGGAAAACTTTCTCTATAAAACTGTAGATGTCTCCCTCTAGAGTTCTCTGACACAAACAGCACCTCTCTGTGCAGTGCGCAGTGCCCTCATGTATTCTAAACTTTTACTGTACATCCTTGCCTGCTTTTCATGGTTGTCACCCCCATAACCCTGAATAACAGAGTAAATCGTTGCAGTGTGAATCAGAAATAATGCATGAATGACAAATTAATACCTTTGTGTTTCAGTTTCTAAGCCAGAACCCAAACTGACTCTCACCAGATGAAACAAGGAATCAGGGATCACTGAGCCTGATTAATTAAGTGTTTTTGTATTACAGTGCTTCACCTCCACTCTCAAACATCTTGTTTAAATAATTCATCATAATCACTAGGCCTTCAGATGAGTATGAATAATCCTACCATCTCTAATTATGTCTTTGCCCACAATCAAATAGCTGATTGTGCAATCAGAAATGATAGAAACTGAGTTCAGGGTAAGCTCAGGAAAGTCCATGTTAATGTAAACAAGAAATGTCCCTGTTTACTGGTGCTGTTTTCATCTCATGGACACTTATTGGAATTAAGCTATTGAGAGAGAGAGAGTAGGAAAAGTTACATGTCTGTCATTTATACACATCTGTGTCATTTGGTATTCTCAGAAAACTTGGGTCCTTAAATTTAACTAAGTGTATAAAGTTTTGTCCCTGATCTGACCTGCTCAATAAGATATTAACATAAATATTGCGGCTAAACTGGCGATCACTAAAGTTCAATGAGCCGCAGTGGGCTAAATACGGGAGATAATTGTTGACGCGCACAATAAACATCCATTCTTGTTTCTGAGGCTCTGTCACATTTATTACTTCCTCATAGCGATGCAGCTCCAATAACTTACAGACGCCCTAGCAAAGATAACAAAGCAAAGCACACAGATTACACAATGTAATGTTTCAAAGAGAAACGGTCAACAGAGAGTTTCACTTCCGACTTTCACCCCACACCAAAGTCCAAAGCCAAAAAAAAGGTGAACAGGTGAGTGGAGTTAGAAATAATCTCGTAGTACAACCCACAGTGTCACACCCTCCACCAAAGTGCCAATGCAGTGTGCCCACACAAACCACGCCTGTGAATATGCAAACTTACATGTATGGCTCCTACAATAAATATATACAGCATGCAGCAAAAAAACAAAAAACGCAGGCACACACACACACACACACACACACACACACACACACACACACACACACACACACAACTCTAAATCATGTGTTTCACTCGTTGCACTCTGTGGTTTACAGGGGTCAAGTCATGTAATGACTCAGCTCATTGCAGGATGTCATTGCCAGTCATTGTGTGGGAAAATTTCCCAAAGAAGACCGAGCGCAAAAAAGGGACAATGTTGCCTTCGGGCTCCCAACACAAGCTCCTATATCCGTGTGCAGTGAATATCAAAAGTCTCCCACCAGTGGAAATGTGTGTTAGAAGCAAAAAACAAACATATAAACATGAAGCCTTTCACTTAGGAGTACAATAGTGTTATTTGCTGAAGTGAACATGCTAATTATCTCCAACGGGATTCAAAATAACAGAGTGTCAATTAACTTCGCCGTCGCAGACTAACCAGGTCAATTTCATGGTGAAATTGTGATAGTACAAAAAAAAAGATCGATACCTTGCTAATTTAACTAAACAATCAGTTTGTATACTCTCTGGTACATCAAGCAAACTGTCAGACATTTGTTATTTGCACTCTCCTGGTAAATATAATATTTCCTACTGCACACAGTACATGAAGGCAGCATATTACAATAGCCTATTTACTTTGGTTTGCTCACGAGAGCCGGGTGAAGCGGCCGGGTGCAGAGCTGCGGGAGGGAGCGGAGGAATGACAACAGACACTAGACAGTTTGTACCGTGTGCACAGTGCCGAAAACACTGGAAGCATCACAGAAGACTGATTGCTTACATGTGAACATCTGAAGCTGCACTCCAGCATTTTTGTCTATTATTGAACCTCAATATGAAATTGACTAACCATTATCGAGATAAATTTTTAAAGAAAAAAACTATTTGGGGTAAATTTAGGGAGCCCTTATGGATAACATGACAAATTAAACAATTTAATATTAGTGAACTGTAAAGGCATATATGTAGGTTATACATTGTGTATTTTTAAAAGATTTTTTAAATATATTTTGAAGCAAGAATTCCGGAAATATAACTGGCCTTCAGAGTAAAATGAGTAAATTCTAATGTGGAAAAATTAAATAAACAAATTAAATGTAAGTGATGTAATGTTGTAATTATCACAGTTACACGAAAGCACAGACTAATGCATGTTATTAGATAATATCACATAATCTGTTCATTAAGTTCATTTTACACTCAATACTCAATTACACAATAAGGCAAATATTTGCTATTGTACAATTCACTGATATTTTTTAAGCAAGAGGTATATCTCAACATAGTTCAACTTGAATTAGAATAGAAAACGAACATGACATTACTTTAATTCCTTAAATCATTTAATTTCAATACACACCGGAATATTTTACTGTGCCCATAAAAGTTTAAGCGCTGACTAATTTCCCCTTAGTTTATTAAACCGTGCGCAAAATAAATGTTAACCGAGTGCACAATCATGTGATAATTTTTCTCTCGTATTACCCCGTATTTATCCACATAAAGTCAGTACTGGACACACACATATAAGAGAGGAAATTATAATACAGGAGACGCAGGTGGCATTTCATGTCAGCTATGAAAATGATGATGATGAAGAAATGTGTTCTATATAGGCTGCTCCCTTATACAATGATGTTTTTCTCCGTGTAAACATGTTAATTATTCCGGGATTTGGTATGTCACTCGGGGGGGGGGGGGCTCCGGGGGTCTTATGTAATTTTCAGACGACACGCCAACTCTTCCTGGCTTGGGAATCTCCCTGTTCCCGCTGCTAGGTGGTTAATCAACTCGTGTGCACAAATCTCTCTGTAATCATCCCCTACGTGTCAGCGTGCAGCATGACAGGCACGTTTTGCACCCGGTCCTGTTGTTCCTAGGACTGCTATAAAAGAGCCGCCCATTCACCTCCAAATCACAACACTGACTCAACCGAGACAGACAACACATCCACTTCATCCTCTGAAGACAAACCAGACTCAAGCCGTATAAAATGGACCCCTGCGAGTGCTCCAAGAGTAAGTACAGCTGTTAATGACTATGTCTGAGCATAACATTTGACATGACTACTATTTCATTAGAGCATTTGTCATTACCGGACAAGACGAAACTAATCTGACTTGTATTTTTCTGTTCAGCTGGAACCTGCAACTGCGGTGGATCCTGCACCTGCACAAACTGCTCCTGCACCACCTGCAAGAAGAGTAAGTCCTTAAATTTACAAAATATCGAGAGCAGTGTATTCGTGACAAAATCTTAACCCGTGACATACTGGAAGCAATATGTTTTTTTTGTTTTTTTTTTAATTCGCTAATTATGTCTTTAGCTATAGGCAGCCTATCATTAAAATTAGGCACTTTTCTATTAATGTTGACTTTCTAGTGTATCTGAATCACTTCCACGTGAAACGCAGGCAGCTGCCCAGGTGGCTCTGATTGGCTTAATTAGCTGCAATGTAGAAGTGGAAATGCATTACACACTGCTGGTCTGTCACTAATGAATGTTGACCCGTTATTGCAGGCTGCTGCCCATGCTGTCCATCTGGATGCAGCAAGTGCGCCTCTGGCTGCGTGTGCAAAGGGAAGACATGCGACACCAGCTGCTGTCAGTGAGGACCCTGCAGCATGGCGCCAGAGCTGCCCTGTGTGATGGAGCCTGTGTGAACAACTTTGAATTGCTTACTGTCGCAAATGTCTAAAGAGTAATTGTTTTGTACTTGTCTTTCAATGTTGAAATAAACGCATTTCCTCAACGTGGCTGTCCTGGTTTGGCTTTAAAATGTCTGGCCAATGTGGCTTCAAATGTCAATATGAAATGAGCTGACTGAGGTGTGCTGCTGCAGTGTAGTAATCTAACCAAGGTCAGACTCAACGAGGGTGTACATGCTTGAAAATTGTAAAGCTGCAGTTCTGTTGACTTCAATGATGAAGGGGAAAGTCCTTCACTATGTGGAGGGTCAAGTCCAGGCATCACATGTAAAAGCCCTAAACTGAATTGCTAGACTATTGGGTGTTTTGGCACTAACAAAGGTTTAATGTTGTGGGGTTTTAACACTGTCCAAGTGTCTGCAGCATCAGCTAGAGGTGTATGGGCCATGTCTTTAGTGCAAAGACATCAGTACACTTGCACAAGGTTAACTCAGACCCAGCTGTCAAAAGGTCATTTTACTTAGTCGTTGAGAAAATTCTTAAACCGCTTGTTGTGCATTAACTAATTGTTCCCAGTCACGAGACAAACATTCGAGTTTCAAATTTGGATACTTGCAGAATTAGTGCTGAAGAGATAAGATCAGTCATCCTGTGAAAATTCCTGGGTAACTTCTTAGGCTTTATCATGACAGAAACAACTTTATCGTAGATAATACAGAGGGTTGAGGTTTTACTGTTTTCATTTTTGTTCCATTCATTCAGGGACTTCCAGCTGTCGCCATAACCAGCAGCTGAAGGAGATTGTACACTGGCTAAGCCCCTAAACTATAGTAAATCAGTAGAGCTTGGTGGTTTTCAGCATCCTCAAGAAATAAAAGAGATGAAAGCTCATCCAACCTTAGGAGCAAAAAGACAGGACTCACTGAAACTGAGCCTGTTTTCATAAATTCTACCTACTCTGAAGAACAACCTAATGTTAATGTTGCTTTTGGATTTTAATCCACCAAGAGGAAGATGAAGACAGGCCACAAACAAAGCAAGGCTGCTGTCTTACAAAACTGTTCAGCCTCCTCCAAACAAGAAGCACATGCACATCCCACCAACAACAGGAGAATGAAGAAGGGGCCGAACAGAGGGAGCGTAAAGTTAAATCTCCCTCTGAGGAATCTGAGCAGGACCAATGTCAGGCCCAAAGAGGTAAATTAAATGATAAATGGTAAATTAAATGGACTACACTTTTATAGTGCTTTTCTAGTCTTATCAACCACTCAAAGCACTATACACTACAAACCACATTCACATTCATACAGCACTTTTCTATTACGCACACTCACACACCAAAGATACATCATTGTGATAGTGATACATCAATTTGGGTTTTGCCCAAGGTGACTTCAACATGAACTGGAAGAGTGGGGGATCAAACCACCCCAATGTTAAAACATCTTCAACAGGCTGACTGCTGAAACATTTCAGGATTTAATAACAGAGCTACAAGAGTCCCAATAAAATTTTACACGAACAACGAATCATTTGACAACCCCTTAAATTTATTTGTCCCTGTCTATAAAACTGTATATAAAATAGTTCAAACTTGCTCCACCTTTGGCAGCTCCAACAGTAAGATGCAGCTTACACACCGATACTTCAGTATTAATCATCTAATGCTGTCATATATGAAAATATATTAGAGGAACACGCGGGTTACAAGACGGCGAGATGGAACTTCCTAACCAGGCGGAAAGAAAGTGATACTGGTTTCTGGTAGGAACAGTAACAGCGACGCACACAGGAAGTACTGCGTTGTTTCTGTGTTCAGGATTCAATTTTAAACTCAAGTCTTGATTTTGTCGTCATGGCGTCTCGGCAGTAGAGTTTAATTAAACCGCACTGTGATTAAAACCAGTTTAAGTGGCCGAACATGCCGAAGGTCGTGTCCAGAAGTGTTGTGTGCTCGGACACAAGAGACAGAGAGGAGTACGACGACGGAGAAAAGCCTCTTCATGTCTACTACTGCCTGTGTGGGCAAATGGTTTTGGTGCTGGACTGCCAGCTGGAGAAACTGCCCATGAGGCCCCGGGACCGAGCCAGGGTGATCGACGCGGCCAAACATGCTCACAAGTTCTGCAACGTGGAGGACGACGAAAACGCGTACATCAAGAGAGCCGAGGGCATCGAGAAGCAGCACCGCAAGAAGTGCGGCAAGTGTGGCCTGCTGCTCTTCTACCAGCACCAGGAGAAGAACAACCCGGCCACCTTCATTTTGGATGGAGCCGTGGTCAAGTTCGGACAGGGCTTCGGCAACACCAGCGTCTACAGCCAGAAGCAGCCGGAAGCACCCAAGAAAGTCCGCGTGATGATGACCAAGCGGACCAAAGACATGGGCAAATTCAGCTCCGTCACGGTGTCCACCATAGACGAGGAGGAGGAGGAGATCGAGGCCAGGGAGGTGGCGGACTCGTACGCCCAAAACGCCAAAGTGATCGAGAAGCAGCTGGAGAGGAAGGGCATGAGCAAGAGAAGGCTGCAGGAGCTGGCTGAGCTGGAGGCCAAGAAGGCAAAGATGAAGGGCACACTCATTGACAATCAGTTCAAGTAGACGAGTCTCACTGAGGGCCAAAGACTTGCTGTGACTGTTATCCTGTGGACGCATTCACCTGCACTAAACCACAGTGGGTCCTGCAGCTCGACTGAACTGATCTGTCCGGTATTGGCCCACCAGTTTGTCTGGGGCAACAGCACTCCAGTGGACAAAAAGAGTTGCATATATTTGGACACAGAGAAAAAGGACTGGTTATATGTGTGGGTGTTGCATATTATGATACTGGTCTTGGGGATCAGCATCTTAACATAGATCTTTAAGTCACAGACCAGTTATAGACCATTTGAATTTGTTTAAAATGTTATTTTGTACAAAATTAAAAGACAAAATAAACTTGTTTGGTATTTTTAAGACATTTGTTTTTGGTGTAATATTTACCGTGATATCTGCAAGCCTTGAGAAAGTCTTTCGCAGTTTGACATTGTGAATTCAAGGCCATTGATAGTTGTAAATACTGTCAAATATTGTGTAAAGGTCTTGAAAAAGAGTATTTGTGCAGATTTCTCAAAACACCTTAAATAAGACTGAATCAGTAAAACATGCTAAAGGAGATTTGTATGTAAACTTGCTAGAGCTGTGTGTCAGAAAAGTAGTTGGCAACATTTGTGATTACTGACTAATTGTTTTAAGACATCAGGAATTTGTTTTACTATTTCTGACATGTAGTCTAAATAATTACTAAATGAATAGAAAAAATATCTCTAGATAAATCAATGATTAATATATTTTTTCATTGCAACCTTAAAAACAGGATTACAAAACACCAATGCACCTTTACCCACTGAAAACATTTTGGCAGGACACAGAAGGAGCAGCACAGGTGTAAATAATAAACTTAGTGATGGTTGAATAAGTCTGGAGTTCAGTCATTAGACAGAAGTGAATCTAGTATTTGTACCGTATATTGTTATGCCCCTAAAGGTTTGATCACATCAGTCCTATATTTTCAGTTATGATCATAATTGAAAACCACAAAATTCAAGTATTTTATTATTCATTCATATACAGTCATTTCTGTATGTGAATGTATCCACCCCAAATTTGCATACTCACTAGGAAATTAAGAATAATTCTAGTTGAAAACATGTATATTGCATGTTTTTATCCTTTGGTATTAAAATATGAAAATGTATCATGTGTAATGCTTGAATGATTCATATAGACAGACATTTGAGGCTTTCTGTGTCAGACAGTGATTCATGAGAAGATGGGTAAATGTAGGCCAGTGTCTATCTGGCAGGTCAGATCCTTAATGTGGGTCACAATAATAGAGGACAGATTAGGAGAACAATGTGTTTTGTAGACTGGATCACAATTTGGCCACAGTAGATAAATTAAAAGTATTTAGGGCTGCAGGTCGACGCTTTCCTGTCGTGCAGTAAAGATGAGAACTTAAAAAAATGTTTAATGGTTATACAAAAATGCAACAATGTAAAGTTTACAGTAATTTCTATTTACTTTTCAGGAGTATGTGATGGTCCTAAATGTCTAAACAATTGAATATAAATGTCCAGAATGTATAAAATGATTTTTTGAATACACGCAGATTTAAAGGTCACATGGCTCTGAATATACAAAAGTTTTTTTCAGTTTGGATATTTGAAATTGTCAAACAGGAAAAGTCTGAGTGGAACTAATAATTAAAAAAATGAAATGAAACAATTAGGGATGTTATTATTCACATCTGTGCTTTTTCTCCTGTGACATGTCAAAATGTTTGTAAGGCACCTGAAGGGTTTTAACACAAGACATCCACAGAAAATGTCTCTTTCTTTTGAGAGATTGATAAGATTGGCTCATCACAAGGTTAACTCATGATCTCTGACACCCTTGGAACTTGGTTAAGGTGAAAGATCTCTGTTTTTTGTAGTATAGTCATAGAAGCACTTCTGTGGTTTGCTTTCTGTGTTGTATAACAGTTGTACACATTGTGTTATGTAATGAAGTAGCTCTGGGGGTTTGTACTCCACATGACCAGATCTGTTTTAACAAAGCAACAGACTGTGGCATGGAAACAGGCATTCATCAACCATCTGGGCTTTGTGATCACAGCCAGTTGTTTCTTCTCGTGTAGCAACAGTAAGGCTAAAAGCAAAACAGCAAGAGACTTCAGTGTTTTTCAAATTCATGTACGCCATTGGTATGACTGGCCCTTTCTCAATGTGGGGACCTCCCAGACAGATCAGTAACGACCCCTAGTTATCAAACAAGTGAATGCTGTGCACATTAAAATTTAAATAGTAAATCTATATATGAATATATAATTTAATTTATATTCTATATAAATGTGTATGTAGAATACAAATAAACATACATTTAATGAATATTACATACTGAGTGTGCAGAGCTATCATGTTGACACCAATTTTCAACTGTTACCATACATGAAACAGGAAGGTGGTGGTGATGTTTTTTCTTATATTGGATTATAAACTACAGTCTTATAAGAGATGCTTTGATAGAGAGGCACAAACATCAAGAGGGGAAAACAAAAATATGTTACCTTTTGCAAGCATACAGATAAAGTCTGTCTACTCATTTATTCACCTACATTGCACTAAACTCCCTTGACCTGAGTATGTTTGGTAATTTAGCCTTCACTGTTATCACTGCTGTATTGCTTCACATATTGGTCATGAACTTTTATAGAGTAAACAGTTTGTGTGATAGTTGTGAGGTGATCGATTCAGATATACATCGACAAGATACGTTCTTTACAATTTAAGAGACTGTTTCAAAACAGTTATAAGATTCACTATGAGTCCGGTTCAAAGTGAATGTGAAAGAGAAAATATATCTCAACCTTGTAAAGTCAGTTTAGTGCATGTCATGCAGGTATATAGGATGGAGGAATTATGTTGCTGTTATGGACACTGAGTATCAAATTTAGTCACATGCACAATCTGCAGTCATTTAAGGTACCTGGAAAAGTAGTATTGTAATTTTCCTACCAAAAAAATGTATCATGTCACCTTTTTTACCAGTCTACAATCTACATTCACGTTATAAGTAATCGATAAAATAAGAGTCTTGGAATTAAATCAGAAAAACAAGCTGCTTTAGTGTGTGAGTAACCTGGACTGTGTCACGAGTTGTCATGTTCATGTTTCTGGTAAGTGACATGATTTTTAGGTCTGACATCACTGTTGTGGACCGTCGTCTCAGTAGGTTTCCAGTCCTCCTGTCCAACAGGCAGGGCAGCGGGGTTTGTCACGTCATGATAATAAGCGAGTAAGAGTGACATCCGGTTTGGGCCGGGAATCATCCAATCAGCGTCGACTCCAGAAGTGCCGGGCCAAATAATATACTTTGGTGCATGTTGTATTGCTAATCAAAACCGAATAAGAGGTAATAACTGGAAACACCATCACCAGAGGAATACAGACAGGACCATACTTACATCCGTCCCATACAACGGGTATGAAGCATGTCGCTTTCCAACAGTGTGAAGTACAATATTAGCAATTTAAGTTGACTCAACTGCGAGCATGCATGTGAACGTTAGCCATTTAGCCTGTTAGCTAACTCTGGAGCGCCATTCATTTTGACAAGTGAAGTATTCTAACAAAGCAAGGAGGGGAAAGAAAATTAGGTTCTTGTAGTATTTGTGACTTTGGCATCTTATTTGCCCTTTGCAGCAACTGAAATTGCCTTTCGGACGGTCTCTTTCTGTTGTCACAATTAAGGCGAGTTCATGAAGTAACCTAGCTAACCAAGGTGCACCGTGCTAACGCTAAGCTATTCTGACAACCACGGCACTCCATGCGCGGGCTGCAGGTGTCAGTCTGTTTACGTCAGCTGTTTAAATCCGCTACCGGTATGTCCTTAATACGCTGACCAACATATATTTCATTCACAGTCTGTTTGGCATGTGCTTGATACTTGATACCTTTATTGTGAAAATGAATGGCTATAGTACAGTGACCTGTAACGAAAGAGACCCTTTTGGGGGATGGAGGTTGAGATACAAATGTTCTTTGTGATAAGTAATCTTGAAATTAAGTTATCATATTTTGGATTTTAGTAGCATGTTCCTTAGTGAATGACTGCTTAAAGACTGCAACCATCAAACATCAGCAGGCTCTTGATACATATACTGGTAATGCGCTGCCAGGCCTGTGCTGCAGTTGTCTTTGCTTCTGTCTTGGTTTGGGGGCTTTCTGCCATCACCATGGTCTTCAGAAAGTGAAATACACTCAAGGCAGGTGACTAATTAACTGCTCGAGAACATTGCCCTTATTGGCACTAAAAAAATTCATTGAGCTTTTTGTCAAGGGGTCCTTGTGCTGCTGCATCTATCTGAGCAGACAAAATGTGTCTGTAACATTCTGTGTTAATTCTGCTGTTTCATTTCATTCTTCAAGTCAAAGAGGGTTTTCTTCAAGTGTTGTCTGTCATGTACCACACTGGTGTTCTGTGCCCTGACTTGCTCACAGTTACTAATACTTACCTAATTATAGGGGATGGCCATATTGGTAAATCCCTCTATCATGTTGTATTTAGTGATATATCCATAAGATATTAAATTAGGTCTAGAAGCTGTTTGTAGATAAAATAAAAATATAAACATATGGTAATGCTGCTTTCTGGCTAATCCAGGGAATTAATTACCTGGCAAATCATGATGCTTCATCACATTGCAAAATGCTCATATTTAATTATTGTGATTTTTTTCAAATGTAGTGAGACACCTTAGTAAAAATCAACTCTTAGACTATTTGCTAAGTCAATGAGCACAGAACCTAAACAAGACAAAAAAATTGCACTGTCACTGTCCAAAATAGTTATTGACCTCACTATTCACTGAGTACTGTATCTTCCATCTACATTTAGATGTAGTCCCAGTATATTGTTGCTGTATTCACTTATTTACACTCTCTTCCTCTCTCTGTGCAGAGGTATGGATGCAGAGGGTTTTGGGGAGCTGCTCCAGCAGGCAGAGCAGCTGGCTGCAGAGACGGAAGCAGTGTCAGAGCTGCCACACGTTGAGAGGAACCTCCAGGAGATCCAGCAGGCAGGAGAGAGGCTTCGATCGCGCACCTTGACGCGCACATCACAAGATGCTGCAGACGTAAAAGCGTAAGAAAAATGTCATGTTCACATGTGGTCACCATCCTGAGTCACAAAAGTCTCATAAACTGTGAGAAGAACAGTTACAATCTATGTGGTCTCACGACAGTTTACCAGTCTGTTGCGACTCAAGGCAGTTCATATATATTGTCTGTTACTTTTTAACTTAAAATAATGTTTTTTGTGCAAGTTGTAATAACTTAATTTCCAAATTTTTCACATCATGCAGCTCTAACTGAACCCCTTACAGCAAGTAACCACTGCATACACATAACATTTAGTGCA